TGTGACAAATTGCCCCAGCACGTGTATCGCATGCTCATTTCTGGAATATGCCTGATTCTGTGGCTCTCTGGTCTCTGTTCTTTTCCCGCTGCCAGGACTTGTTCCCGCTGATATCTTTTAGTTGCGCACACGCTGACAAATCCAATTCATTTTTTGCCGCCTTACGTGGCGTATACGTAATGGGCCAGCAACTAAAGGTAATGCGATGGCAGCTACCTGCCTTCGTTTTCCGTTCTGATTTCATGTTTATGCATGTACACTCCTCAAATTGGCTCCCACTTCAATCATTTTCATTTTCCGTTGCCACGTTGTTCCTTTTTTTTTTTTTTTTTAGTTTTCCGCTGGCATTTTCTGGTTCCATTCGCCGGCGGTCCATCAAGTGGAAGGCAATCGAAAATTGACGCTTCGCAACAAAATGCTCAATGTTCGGCAAGGAATGGCCGGAGTCCACTTTGCCGGAATGATATTGTTGCAACGATGCCGGCGTCATCCAGCAACTGGCAGCAATTACGCGCCGCCTTAATTGCCGCACAAGAAACTGAGCGAAATTTTGCATGAATTCAATAACATTTGGAAGTGCAAAACAGAAAGAAGCCTTTAAAACAAAGAAAGAAACCTATAGATTTCATGTTTACCTCATGATCATTCTTTAATCTATATCTAGTTAATTTTTATTAATATTTTTTTCCAGAAAAACCTCCCTGTTCCCCTCAGTGTGGGCGCACACTCGTTAACATGCCGATGCAACAGCGCTGGGAATGGGGCTGTGGGCATCGGACCTGAAATCAAAATCATTGGTGTGAAAATAAACTAATTGAAGAAAAATTTCATTTGCAACGGCGGCAGCAGCAACAGCATCGCCACTCGACGCACCGCATCTTGTTGCGTTTGACCCTGGGTCAAGTTGCAGGCGGGCCATGGCATTCATGCCATACCATGCCGTGCCCTGCCATGCCTGGAGAGGCCACATCCCCGTCCACGACCCCCACCATCTACATCCACATTCCATTGCCGGAACAGGAGACATTGGATCAGAAGAACGGTGCCATGGCAGGCCAAAGCGACGTGTGCTTACTTATCAGTTCAACCAATCCCCTGCAGTGCAAACACTCGGCTCAGTTTATTGTTCAAATTATGTCGAGAATAAGAATATTTGTTTATTGTTTTTTTTTTTAATTTTACAAACAATTTCACTACTAAAAAATATAAATTACAAAATTTTAAGTCTGTATTTTAAGCCGTGACTTTCAATAGAATTTTTGAGCCACAACACTGCACTGTGCGTAGTGCCTCCTCGGTGCTCTCATCTTGCCGAACAATATATTCCGGGAGTTGCCTGCCGAACGGCTAACTATCGCAATAAATGCATGAAAAACTACATAACGGTAATGTGCAGTTGCCATGCAGCAGTGCACCAGTAGCAGGAGCATTGGCAGCAGCAGGAGTAGCAGGATATAGCAGCAGCAGCAGCAGATGTTGCTGATGATGGCGCCCTGAGTTGTATGCTACACTTTTTGCACGACGCTTTGTATGTCGACGAGGGCGTGGCACATATCCCTCGCTGTTTATTTGCCACTGCCTACAAGCTGCCAGCGGCTTATGGTTCTCGAATGCTGTGGCAAAATCCAATGTAGCTGCCACCGTGCAGTTGTTGCCATCAGCAACTGTTGCGTGAGTGCAGCAGGGTGTTGGGTTCGCCAGATAGATGGACATGCCGACTGGCAGACCGTAGATATTGCAGCTTGTTTCCCTGCGCGTAAGAGCAACAAATGCAGAGGACGAAAAACAATAACAAAAAAAGAAGAAAAATATAACTCGCATGGATTTTGAAAAATGTTCCACTAATTGGAAGCTCAGCGTTTGCACTTCAAATGGAAATTCATCGAGCGAAATTGGTATAATTGATACTTATCAAGGGCCTATTGGTGCTTCATCAATAATGAGGGGATATAGTATTTCCGCATCGGAATCAATGAATAGAAGAGTTCCTTTCTACATACAGGGCCCTCACAATGTTCTCGATCTAGATTGCAATTATTGAAATACTGAAAAAAAAATATATTATTACATTTTTCATATATGTATATCTCTCTCAAAAACTAATTTAAATTGAATACTGTCCCTACACTTTAGCCGGCAGTTTTGCCAATTTTTGGCTGGCCCGGCCACAAATCAAATCTCTGATTCTCGGGCTCGATATGGAAGAGGAGTAGCTCCGCCAACTGAACTAATTTCTTTCACGCTACGGTCTGAGTTATGGAGCTTAAATTGGTTGGCCCCGACCAACACCAGGCCCCTTGGACCACAAAATTTGCATTTGCCGCAGGCCCCCGCCGACGTCTCCTCTACTATGTATATCTTTGCCCTCCTGGAAGTGTGGAGGCATCTACATAAATGTGGCTTTTCATTAAAATCTAAAAGCATAAATCTAAAAAGTGAAACCAACAATGCCAGAGCAGACACAGGCGGACATCTGCGGTGTGAGCTGCTCCCCTCGTCCCCTTCCAGGATACTGATTTCTACAGGATCTGTGGGCTGACTGTTTTATGCCTTTCTTCCTTCCTGTCTGCGTGTCTGTCTGTGTGTGCGTGGCAAAAACTAATTGAATTTTGAAATTCAAGTCGAAATTAAAAAATTACCAACAGCCAGACGGCCGCATTTGGCATTTGCCAGTGGAAATAAACTGTAAAACGGAAATGTATTTGGCAGGTGGAAATTGAAACTGATTGAATTGTAAAGTGAAGCATAAAATGCCTTTGCCTGCGCGCTGTTGTTCCCGTTTTTGTCGCTGTTTTACAGCTGCTATCACGCCCACCGCTTCTCAGTTCCCGTTGGTTCGTTATTTCTCTTTTTTTTTGTTATAATTTATGGTTTTCGATTTTAATTTGCGCACTTGGGCGCGTGTTTTATGAGAGTTTTACTTTATTTTTTTGCATATTCCTGCGTGCCTTCTGCGTTTTGTCACAGTGAAATGTGGAAAAGATTTAGAACGAGAGCTGATTGAGGAGTTGTAAACATTTTAAATAAGTTTCAGGGGTCAAAAGGAATCTTTAATAAATGTTTATTGGACATTAATGCCACGTAAATCATTTTTGTGTGTAAACAAATTTAAAATGTTTATTTACCAATTGATTAGAAAAGAATACGCTTTTTTTATTTGTTAATAAATTTACAAAATTTACTTGCCACCTAAAATCCTTTCACAAAAATCCCAACTAACTACCCTCGCTGAAAACACCAAGGCATATGCATTATGATTAGCGGCCATAATTGAAGTTTAACTGCGCGTGTAATAAAAGCGATTTTTGGCCATTTGCAACGCATTAGCAGCATAAATAATATGGGCCAAAAGTGTGAAAATAAAGACACGCGATATGTATTGTGGCTCCCATTTCTCGGGCAAAAAAAAAGAACCTCACACACGCGAATGAAATCCAAAGACATTTCTCAAAAAAGAAACCCGGACGAGAAGGCGGCCCAATTTTTGATGAGTTGAGGATTTGGAGCACGCGAAATGGGCGCGAGAAAATGTACGAAATGCGATATTGTACAAAGGCATTAAGGACGTGCCGGCATTACCACGGACCTAGACACCGACTTATATGCGTTTATATATATGGCTGGGCCCCAGACCGCAAACAAACGACGGCGACTTATTCATTGCGCTTGCCATTAAGGTGGCTCTCGCTGCCATTTGGCTATGGCCACTGCCATTGCCTCAGTCATTGCCATTGCTCCACCGCTACACCGCCGGGGTGATATATAACACGCTCATAATTGGTCATAAATCTGACAAATGTAATTTGTCATCACTCAAGCAGCTAGCGAACCGGGGCCAGCATCACCCCAATCTCTTTTAGGTCCCAAAAAAAAAAAAAACAAGCCATGAAGAAAATAAGGTTTGCGAATAACGGATACCTGGTGTCAGGTTTTATTATTTATTTTTAAATTTTTTCTTTAAAAACATAATATTATTGGTATTTTATATTTCAGTTGTATCAATATTTTTTTTAGTTTCTATAGACACTTTATTAGACTTTAAGAAATAACTTAATAGATTAAACCCGTATTTTTATATTTTTTCTGAGTATTTTAACGTTTTTCTTGTGGATTCACAACCCTATCTAGACCTCAAATCCTTTGAAGTATTACACAGCACATACCGATTTCCTCGGTTTCTCCCCTAGTCGATCCCCAGACCCATCTCCTCCCCTAGGATAGCCGGACTTGGTCCAAGCTATGCTGAAGTGCCAAAATGAAAAAGGTGCTTGACACAAAATGTCAGCTGGATATTTTTTATTGCACAATCACAACATATACACAAGCGGAGCCCTCACACTCGCACACGTACGCATACTCCGACACCTTTGGATATGCCCAGAAGCAGGCAATGCTTTTGTTTTAGTTTCCGCCCGACACGCACATACCCACACAACCCACACACACATGCAGACAAACAATATTTTCGAGCACTCGACACATAAGCCACAAAGTAGTTACTTTTTACGCACCTCAAGCACACTCCGGAGTCCGGCCTGGAACCCGTGATTGTTTCCTTTGCGCTCACTTGGGCTCGTAAATATTTTACAAGTTTTGCCGGGCAACTAATTTCGGCTCTTATAGATGACATATGACTCACTTTTTCGAGAAGAGAGGGACTGGGGGGGGGTGTTGTTGTGGAGGGTCCAAAGGCGATCCAACATCTACATTTCATTATAAATGACTTTCAAAATGGCCCAAGCGTTGTAAATGGAGTAAGTGCGTGTTTCTGGTCAGGGCATCGACTTGGGCATTAGGTTTTAATGGTCGGCAGCAATCAATAGGCCATGATAATTTATGGCGATTATGTTGGCCCAATCCCGAGAAAGTTGTCCATGAATATGACTTAATATCGAGCTCTGATTTTCCTCTGGAGAGAGGTAGGTAAACACATTTTAATCGCCAATCTTTGCTAAGTAAATATTAACCAAATTAATGGGAAAATGAAAAGGCATTATGGCTCCTTTTATAAGTAGTACCAAGTCTTTGCTTCTCACATAAGAAACCTACTTTATTACAAAAATATATATTATTAATAACATCACTTCAAATTATGCAAAAAGGTTAGTGGATACACCGAAGTATGATGCGTCATCCACTGGAATATCACATATACTGAAGCCTCTGCCATCAGGTAGACAAAAAGCGATGTGCGAAGCTCATAACCACTCATGGAAATGTGGAGCAAACTAGTGGTCAGAATGAGGAGCATAAATAGCATACAGGTTTCTGTTGAAGCCGTGGCAATTATCTACAAAGAAAATTTATGAAAATATCATTGGGAAAAGTACAACAATTACATTCTTACTTTGGAATTGGAATTGTAGCAGTCGTGGTAGTACAGAAGCGGAAAGGCCAAAAAGACGCCATACGTCGTCATGCTCATCACGGCCCCGAAGCTGGCGTCCCACATTTTCCTCAGCTGCAGACCCTTGATCAAAATAGCCTCACTGAACATCTCACCCAGTCCGAAGTACATCAGGGCGTTGAGATCGGGCAGCAGATCGAATCGCAGACCGATGTACTGCCAGGTGAGGTTCTCTATCTCGCGACACAGCACACACATTGCCACGGAGCTCATGGCCAGTCCCAGCAGAGAATAGAGCCACACATGGTCGGGCCGCCTCATCGAGTGCGTGGAGATGTAGACCAGCAGAGAGGATGTCCAGCAAACAATGGCCACGACGATGAATTGAACTGCATCGAACTGATGGAAAAGGCACAGCACTGGCAGGGCCAGAAAACAGAGGCAGTTGATGTACTTGACCCATCCAATCAGGTAGCGATCCTTCGATATGACCGGAATAAAGTGGGCTAAGACGAAAAAGATTGGTACCTAGGGAGAGCAGAATTAAAAAAGTAACAAGATAGTGCTCGACGCTGAACGCCCTTACCCACCATTAAGAACCTGTATACCACATGGCTATCCCTCATAATCCTGTTTCCATTCACTGTCTGCAACCAAATGTGACGCCTAGAATAGATTCTTTGCTTCGGATAGCTGCCCAGGATCTCATCATCGCTTTCCATATCGGAAAAGCTCCCATGTTTTTCCTTCTTCGGTAGCTTATTTCTTGCAAAAGTGGAATAAGACACCGCCAGGATCGTAATTAGGACAATGCAAAATATCAATATGAATGCAAGCACTCTGAGCTCCAGAAGAACTAGGTGTTTACTTGACTCCATATTATCGGCGTGGATATGGTGTTTTCGATTGCTCACAAGCGTCAGATAGAGTATTCCCAGCATCATAAATATTATGCAGGACCACAAGGTAACTCCTTCAACCTTATATCCTCGCACGCACAGCACCATAATCCCAGTCAAAAAGTGCCTCATAGCGTCCCCAATCAATTTGGCAAACTGCAAACGACTCAGTTTCTCCACTTTAACACTGCAAGTCGGCCAGGCACTCGTGTAATAGGGCATCAATAGACACGGTGCAAAGAACAGGTAGGAGAAGCCGAACTGGGTCATTGGAGCGAACTCAATGAGCGTTACTAGATTCGGAAAGAAGCTGTGAGAATCTAAACAATAACAGGTACTGCTGTATATTTTATATCTACCCACAAGTACTTGGTCATCATATGCAGCAGACTGAACAGTCCCACCAACATGAATACATTGCATAACCCATAAACTGGCAAAACGGACAGCTTGAATTTGCAGAAGAAAATCTTCATAAAGTCAATGAGATTTACAAACAGTCCACAGCTCAGTGTATTCGTCACTAGACTGCAGTACTCATCGGCATTCGGAGACGTTCCCTTGGGCAGCGAACATTGAGTCTGAAAATAATATTTTTCTAGATATTTAATAGTTAAGGGAGGGAAATCCGAGATGTTATGGGTGAAGATCCCTGTACTCGAGTACTTGCCACATTGGATAGGTCCACAATTTCCATGATTGACTTTTCTTTATTAATTTTAAGTGTTATTTTAACTATTTTTGATTTCCAGAACAAAGCTTGCTGTTTATTAATTTATGTTTAATATAAAAGACAGGTAGGTGGATGAATAGTAACATAGTGTAGGGACATTTACAGTATCTTTAGCGTGCAATTTATAGTTAAATTTATTACTAGCTAAGCATTATTCACTTTCAAAACGTCAGCTTAAATAAATATGTACCTCGCCTCCAAAGCTGGATGACTTCCAAGGTGCAGATGCAAATGCAACGCCTTCGAAATGGGTCAACATAGGGTTCATGAGCGATCGCCGGCGTCATCGCCAACGTGACGAGCCCCAAGTACGCCGTATATCTTGATATTTATCTCCGGCGACTGCCCATGCCCCGACTGGCAACAGCCAAAGATTCGGATTCCAGCCGTAATGAAACTAGATGCGACACATTTGTCAAATTGCCGTCGCATCAACATCAACACAGCTCCAACACATGATATTCTCCCTTTTTATTTCTTGTTTTTTTTTTGTTATTGGACTGCAAGAGAAAATCTGAGAGCTCGAGCTCGAGCTCGTCTCAATTAGCGTCAATTGAATTATTACACGGCGACACTCATTCAATTTTCAGCGATGGGGGGACCAGGCCCACAAGCTAGTGTTGTCAGGTTGTGTGAAAGATGAGAGTGACTGGCCACTGGCTGGGTGAAAGGAGAATGCAAATGCCCTTTTGATGCATTTAAATTTCAACAGGATACCAGGAGTTTATTTAAGGTATCCCTGGAAAATCTATATTTATAAAATTGATTTACCATAAAGTACTCATAATTTACAAACTAAAGTTAAGCTTATTTAAAGAACAAAATGAATGTATTTTTTTAGGATAACCCAAAAGCCATTTCAATTTTAAATAATATTTCGTAAATACCTTTTGGGAACTTATTTCTTAAATTATGCTTATTTATTTTATACATTTTTTTACGTTACAATTTCCTTAACTCTTAAAGCTATTTTTCCCAAAATAAGTCACCAACCTCCATAGATATACCCCACTTCTGAATCGTAAGGCATCGGCCCACGCATTTGTCACTTTCCGCGGATATACGCGTCGCAGTTGCGCCGCATGCCGCCAGTTCGTCCGCGCCACTCGATCAGTTGGGATCAGCTCCGATAAGTTCAGTGATTTATAATGCGATCCTGGTCCTTGGCACTCAGTCTGCTGCTCCTCGCAGCCTCCGCATTACACACCGCCGAGGCACGCGGCGGGAGGGGTCGCGGTGGCGGTTCCTTCGGCGGCCTATTTGGTGGCTGGCGCAAGTACAAGAAGCCCTCGTCGTCGGGCGGCGGTCGACGCGTGGTCAGCGGATCTCCGGTTCACACGGCCATGACGGTACCGAAACCACCGCCTCCGCCTCCACAGCCACCCAAGCAGATGATGATGCCCAAGCAGCAAGTGCCCAGCTATCCGCGCCAGCAAATGCCACCGGGCTACGGCTACGGATCGTATCCAATGGGTCAGGCAAGCGGAACGGTCTATGCAAGTCCGCAAGCCCTGCCCCCGGGAGCTGTGTTCCTCTCCCAGCCGCCGGTGGGAATGAATCGGGGATTGGGAGGTGAGTCTTTGACTTATGAAAACGGTGTAGGGTTTATTCTAGACCTTCCATTTAGATCTAACTTTAATTTTAAACCTAGAAAAAACGGAACTGCGTTTAAATTAATGATTTTTTCTATAGTTTTCTATAGTTAAATAGTTAATGAAAGTTCTATACGTAATAATCGCAAAACAATAAAATTCTCCTTTTCATTTAGGCTCTGGAGACTTCCTTACCGGAATGCTAGCGGGTCACATGATGAACAACCTGCTCTTTGGCCACCGTCACCATGGTTCCCATATTGTCAGAAATCATGGGGAGGAGGAACAGGTCGGTCAGGGAAACGGACGCCAGATCATCATCGTCAACAATGGGCAGCAGCCCAAGGGAGTGGCCCAAAATGAAACTACAATTTCAGGGGAAGCATCCGCTGTAGTTCCTCCCGAAAATCCTTTGACCAATGAAGAGGCAGGGGAGGAGGAGGAGACTGTGGAGGGACACGGGGATGGGGACGAGGAGAGTGCACCCGTGTCCAGCGAGGAATCCCCAGACCCCGAGGCAACCCTACCACCCATGCTCGATGGCGGAATCGTTTGCTTTCCCATCATGCTGAACGAAACAGATCCCGAGAATCCAGAGGTGACGCGACAAGTGGAGCGTGTGGCCTGTTTCCCAGTCCCACCTCACAATTCGGTGAGCCCGTCACTCTGGAACCATCCGACCACTGAACCCCCCATTGTCGCCGGCGATATTGTGGGGGGTATTGAGGCAGGTGGCTCGGTGGGTGGTTCGGAGGGACAACACGATGAGGAAGGAGGTGACGCCGTCGAGATGGCCAGCTTTGTGGCTGGCAGAGCGACCAATGTCAAAACGGACTCCTCTTGAGTTATGTTTCTGCTAGGAACTAAGTGTTATGTAAACAAAAATAAATAAAAGCCAATAAGTAATAAGAAAATATTTTCTAAAACTAATTTTTTCAATTACAATATTTCTGATAAACAAATGGGAAAACTAGCAACCGAATTCTATCAAGTAATAAAAAGGATTAAAGAATTATCCACACGTCCAAATAGGAATCTCCGGATATATTCCAATCCAGCAAGAATAAGGAGAGACTAAAATAGAAAAGTCCAGGAATAGAACCCACGTCAGAGGCACCCCGGTGCCTCATCAACATGCTGACATTTGTGGCGGGACTCGCCCTTCTTCTAACACAGGTAAAAGGTATTGTCAAAAATATACTACGTATTTTGTTTAATAATTATTTATTAATATATATTTAACTAGATAAAATAAAAAGTTTACAAAAAGTTTGGTCATTTATAAAGCCCATATCCTAACGTTTGTTTCCATATTTCAATTAGCAATAAAAATTGAAGGTTTTCTGTGTCTTTTCAGTGTAAGCCCGCTATTACAATTTGTTATGACTTTAATACGTTTAGAACAAAAGCACTAAAAATGTCCACAGTGTAGAAGTAAAAAAAATAGGGCAGCAACTGGGGCTGCGATGTTACGGCGACGTAAACTGTGACGCTGACTTTGACGTTGAAGGCAAATAAAACCATTAAAATAAAAGAGCTAGCTTTTATATAGGGCTTGGATTTGAGCATAGTTGACATGCAAAATAATATTAAAGTATTTCTATTGATTAATATCATTGTTTAAATAGTCTAATAAATTCAACTTGAAACTAAAAATAAGAGAATTTAACCAATAACCAATCAAATATAATTTTAATAATAAAATATAAAAATATATGGTGTGTAATAAATAAGCACACCTCTTTTTTCACAGTTACAGGGTATCAAAATAAATAAAAAAAAGAGACGCAACAACGACACGAGCTCAAAACACCTTCGCTAGAGGGGCAAGTGTGGGTGAGCGATGATCCAACAAAAGCAATGAAGCTCACTTGACGCTCATTAAGGCCCCAACAACAAAGTCGTGGCGATAAACCAAATGAAAAGAGCAACAGAGAGGAAAAAAGCTACAGAGAATGAGAAGAGAATATGACCATTGTTTTTATACTCTTTAGAGCAGGCTCCCACATGCGATATCATTCACACAAGTTAGCCTAAACCTAAAAAAAAAAATAAAAAATCAGTTATTATATGACAAACAAAAATATATAAAAATTGAGAAATCTTTGGCATCTTTGTAAGTTTTTCAGTGTCACTGGTTTTTATCCTTACTTGAAATTACGTCAATCTAGTATCTCTCACAAATTATATCTTAATCTTAGGCACTCATAATTCCAACGTAGATGATTTTACAGCAGCCGAAAGATAAACCTTTTACTGCTTAGATAGCAGATATTCCCTCAGGAGAGGCGCACCAGAAGCTAAAATTAAATAAAAACATTTTTGTCTGAAAAGCCCAAGAGACAATAAAACGATGCCAGATATTGACAAACACACAAACAAGAAGAGCAAGCGAAGGGAACTAAAGATACACTAAGAAAAAATGCCAGACAAAATGGTTATTTATTCAAATGTTAGTATATAGTTTTATTACATTCAAACTCAATAGAACCCAGTATATACCCTTTATAATCTGATATTATTGAATAAACAGTTAATTATAAGATGTTTAATTATTACTTTAGCAATCCAATTATGTTATTAGTTTGTTAATTTAATATAAATATTTATTTAATATATCCATATGTATATAGTTTGGTTATAATTAGGGATAACTATTTTTAAAAATTCGAATAACAAAGTATATTTGAATTAAAAGTGATGTTAATTAAATATATATTATTTTAATACATTTTGTTCTCAGTGCACTGACCACTGGTGACACCAACAACAACAACAACAAGTTGGTTCCACTCTCGCGGTCGCTGCCGCTGCTCTGCCGCCTTCCGCTCCAGAGAAAAACGCAAAACGCGACCGATTTTTCAGCCGCAGTTCAGTTGTTCGAGAAACTTTGCACGAAACAAAAGCTTAAATCGTACGCGGCAGTAACAGCAAGCGGAATAAACAGTAAAACAAAGTAAATATTAAATAAATTAGTGTTTATTACATTTTAAGCCAAGTGTGCTCCGGGTGCTCCATGTCAGGAATACAAATTCCAGTTCTCAAACACAATTGTTCCGGACTTTTTGTACAGTTGAAAGCAGAATTTTTGCATTAATTTAGCCACTAATTGTGGTGGGTTTTGTTTATTTATTTTATGCAATGCTTGGCCGACTTCAAGGTCACTTGAAGCAAAAGGAAACCCATATACTATGAATGCCAGACATATTAAAAGGCAATTCCCAAATTCTTTCAATCCACTTTTGTGTTCCTTTTAATTTTTCCAATTTCTAAATATATTTTAAATTTATTTATTTATATGTCAACAGATGCCTTGTGTAGGTATCTTGCATAGCTTTCATGTTTTGAAATATCCAGAATTTATATTAATTGGTAAGCTTTTGTTTGTTGCACTCAACAGGTTGGTTTAAATATAGCATTTTTAGAGTCCCATTTTTTATGACATTCTATGAAAGAGAAACACTTTGAAAGGGCGGGAATAAATTATATACCAGCTTAAATTTATGCATAGTGCAGTGGAGTGTAAAAAATATCAACTATAAATATACACGAGTCGCACTATTAGATCACCTTTCAGTATAGAAACAGCTGCTTCGTATCATTAACGCTGAGGGTAAATATTACTTTAGGTAATATCAAATAGTTTGAGGCCTGTTGTCTTAATATAGGAAAATAAAAACACATTTCGTGCCAAAAATATTTTGGAGAGTCACCCACTCAAAGCCCAAAAACACACATAACTAACCGGCTTTTAACGCCCAATTAATTTTCATTTTTATACGTATGCGGCATTATGGTCTCTGGCTTTGCATCATTCTTCCCATATATTATGTAAGGCTTGGGCCACGAGCAACTCTCTCCAAGGCTCAGCCAAGTTGTGGGTTAATGAATCATTTGTTGTTATAGTACTCATTTCAACCATAGTATTCATACATTCAATCTTCGATCTGTCGCTAATCTCAAATAGCTTTGATCTGTGACTTTGGCAGGGCGATAAGCAGACAATTTCTAGACCGACTCTTCCAATGAAGCTCCCAATGGGGGCAGTCGTATAATTCCCAGAATCCGAGAAAATTAATAAACAAGCTCGGTGTAAACAGTTTTGTGCTAAACATTTTCATGTCCATTTCCCCATTGACGTCATAGCTGCGCATGCGCTGCAGCTTTTGTCGATTTCGATGACTCACTTGAAAACGGGTTTGTCACGTTTTCATCATCGCTTGCATGTGTGTCAGTCCCAAACAATATAGTCTGTTTGCTATTATTATTACAGTTACAACTGCCGGTAAAAAGGTAGATTTATTTAAATTAGACTGTGTCACTCTCTATTGTTTATTTTGGCGAAATTCCAGGCCAGCAATTTGTAAGCAGTTGTTTAAACAATTACTTGGGACACTTGAAATGTTAATGGTATGAGTCGTAAAAGTATGGCTGGTTTTATAGAACCCCCAATTTGTGATTATAGATTTTATAATCCTAATAACTAGTTTTAATAGTGCTTTTTCAAGACTGCGGGTTTTTGAAATCAAATGTGTTCACAGTTTGAGAATCAACAAGATAACCTACGGGTTAAGTGAAGTATTTAAGACTTTGAATTCCTCTTTACCCGACTGAAGTTATTAACCTGTTTTCTAGAATATTCTTTCTAATGAATATATTAATTAATGTAAACACTAAAAATATCGCTAGAGTACTGATTTCATTATATTATTTACCTAAACAACAATTATTGACCTTTTTGATTACGTCTTAGCATGTCTTATTCAAATTCCACAAAAATCGCAGAATTATTTAATTAAAACACATTTCATTTGAAACCATCTTAGTTCCAATGGATCATGAGTCACATTCGTAATTAGCCTTATCAGAGATGTTTGTTTTGGAAAAAATTACCACAAATATATTTTTTAAGAAATCAACGGGCAACAAGTTCATACACATTAATTTCGTTAGTAGAACATTTCACGCCACTTTTAATTTACGCCAAAGTTTTATTCCAGTTCCTTTCGCTTTCTAGCCTCATAAAGGAGGCTTTTGTTCGCCTTGGTCACACAGACTTGACCTCCAAACTCTCGAGTGTTTATAGTTCAGGGACTCGGAACTTGGGCGCTGGTTGTGGGTGGGGAGCCAAGACCAGAAGTCAATGGAGCGTAGCCACGCGACAGTCGGCCCCAAAATCAGCAAGTTAATTACCATTAGGCGACCGCCCAAGACACGCATAACGCGCTTCTAATTTGGTCGAATAAAAGGGCGGGCCACTGCAGACCTCCTGTAAATTTTTGGCAATCAGGGCGTGACACTTGCGTCACTGTTCAATCGCTGAAGCGGTCGAAATCAGTGTCTGGAAGCTCAAGGGGAAGTAATCATGATATTCTTAAACTTCTGAAGATTATTTTCTACTTAAATCAAAATTTAAAAAAATTAAATACTTTAAAAGTCTTTATGATTACCAGCTGAAATCTTTTTGTTCGAGTTTATTACAACGCAAAAACAAAAATATTTTGTATCCAAAATAATCTGAATTGAATTTTCTACGTAAATAAAATAGGACACTTGAAGCTCTTAAATTTCATGGAATCCCGAGGGGAACCATGTCTCAGTTGGCTTACCATAATTGTGGTTTATTATTAGCGCAAATTGAATAAATTGTTTTTTTACACAAACATAAAAATAAAGCCTCACTGAGAGATATGAAACCGGGGTGCAGCAGAGGGAACTATATCAACATTTTTGATGCTAAGGTCGCAGCCTTAAATACCCTTTGAATGCCATTTTAAATACATTTTATTTCGATGCTATAATAACATATTTATTTCTTTGCCTAAGAGATATTTTCTAATGAAAAACCTGATCGGTTTTTAAACAAAAAAACAATGAAATTTAAATATGAATGAATAAATAATACTCTTTATTACTAACTAAAGAAATACCAATCGCAATACCATAAACAATATTATATAGCTATCAATCTTTAAAGTTTGTTATTCTTTAAAAAGAAAACATATACATATTCATATGTATTTCCCTTCAAACTGATTTAATTATACTCCAGAAATTCGATAAGAGCTACTCAACATTCGCTCTTTGACTTATAAAAATAAATATAAAATATTCCATTAAGACTTGCCTCAAATTGGGATATCCGTGAGTAACTAAGTATTTCTTTTGTTTCAGCATGACCATTATACCCAGGCGGCTTAGTGGCAGCCTGCTGGTGGTGGGGCTCCTGGTGCTGGCCCTGACCACGGAGAATGTGCAAGCCAAGCGTTGGTTTGGCGGTGGCGGCAGCAAAAGCCGTGGCAGTTCAAGTTCCAGTTCCAGTTCCAGTCGGAGGACTTCATACTCTGCTCCTTCGCACTCCTACTCGGCACCTTCCCACTCCTACTCGGCGCCTTCACACTCCCACTCCGACAACGTAAAGCTGAGCTATGGCGGCGGAACCCACTCCCAGCCCAGCAGGGTGAGCAGCTCCCAGTCGCAAAGCAGCCACAGTGTGGTCAAGCCGGCGGCCACAGCCTCACCGATTGGCTGGAATGTGCCTGCTAAGCCGCAAGGCCCACCACCCGCTTATTCCGCTTCGAATCCTGTAGGCGGGGCTCACACAAACATTCACGAGCGCCCGCCGGCCTACAATCCGGCCTACAAGCCGGCACCGCCCAGTTACTCGGCCGCCACCCAGACGCACAGCAACACGAATCTCCAGAGTCCAGCCCGCCCAGCTGCCGGCTCCAGTTCCAGTTCCAGTGGAAGCCACTACTATGGCGGAGCCCATACCGGCACCGGATACAGGGGTCGCAATAACTCCACCGGAGGATACGGCTCTTCGGGCGGATACTCACCGATTACGGCCACCAACGCCCACAATGTGCAGTCGAGCTATCCGCGCCAGCAGTTGCCAGCCGGTGCTACCTACCACCCAGCGGGACAGTTGCCGGCGGGAGCCACCTACCATCCATCGGGTCAGCTGCCAGCAGGTGCCTCGTACCACCCGGCGGGTCAAGTGCCCCACGGAGCCACCTACTATCCCACCGGACACGTTCCAGCGGGTGCCACCTACCATCCTGCAGGTTCTTACCCCATGGGCGCCTCGTACCATCCCGCTGGACAGATTCCCCACGGAGCTACTTACTATCCGCAGGCTCCAGTTGCCGGAGGACTGCCTCCAGGTGCCACCTTCTTGCCCGCCGGAGGAGCCCTGCCCGCAGGAGCCACCTTTTACCCGCAGGCGCCGCAGAAATCTTCATCTGGCTTGGGTCTGGGTAAGTTTCATTTATATTTGTATCTGTAGTTCAAATATAATATCATTATTGTTCTTTTGCAGGCACTGGTCTCATTGCTGGCGCCTTGGGCGGAGCCATCCTGGGTCACGCCCTCACGCCCACTCAGACGCGTGTGATTGATCATTCCTACTCTGGCGGCGGCGGAGGCGGAGGTGGTGGCAGCAGCGGTGGCGACGACAAGATCATTATTATCAACAACGGACCGCCCGGCTCTGTGACCACCACCGATGTGGGATCGGGAACAACAGTAATAAATACCGGAGGAACTCAGGCGGCGGCCTCGCCCTCCTTGCCAGTACCCCCTGCTCCTGCCTATGCAGCTCCTGCATCTGGATCTGCCGCCCTGCCTGTGCCACCTGCTCCAGGAGCAGTCCCACTGGCACCTCTGGGTCCTTTGCCGCCAACCCCTGCTGATCCCAATGCTCCTGCAGGAGCACCGCTTCCACCAACTCCCGGAGCAGCTGCCAATCCCAGTGTCCCAGTTCCGCCGGCACCTGGTGCACCGACAGATCCAAATACTCCACCGGCACCTGGGGCCCCGGCTGATCCAAACGCTCCGCCGGCTGGCGGCATCATTTGTGTGCCCGTTAAAGTGCCCGAACCGGATCCGACGGACTCCACCAAGACGATTGAGGTGGAGAAGATCGCCTGCTATCCGGCACCGCCGCCAGAGGCAGCTCCACCGGCCAACGGAACTGCACCGGCCGCCGTCGAGGGAGCTGTACCTCCTCCCGTGTCCGCTCCTGGATCCGTGAACCTGGCTCCTTTCCAGGTGACAACACCCGTGACCGTTCCCGAGGGATCCGTGCCACTGGCCCCGATTGTGCCTGGAGGCCAGCCGGATATTATGAAGATGCCGGGCCTGACCTCGGCACGTCTCTCCGCAGAATCTGGTCTCAAGGATGCCCACAGTGTGGCCGAGAGTAGCTTCGGTCACTACAGTCTCGTCTCCACGCTGGTGACCCTGCTGGTGGCCTACTGTCTCCACTAGAATCCCATCCCCGATTCCCACCATCTTTCCTCCCTCAAGGACGCTGTGTCATTGGCCACCGGAAAGCTTTAACTAATTTATTGCCAGTCTTTGGACACGAGATTAGGACGGATAAATACATATGTATGTCTAACCCTTGGCCCATCGGTCCCCTTCATATATTTTGTAAACAAATCGAATTTTTGATATATATACTCGTAGTTCTGTCAGACCTCAAAACAAGCCACCAATAAATGTAACGATTGAAAAAAATAATTTAAGGAAATATGTTTTTATGTTTTCAATTCCTTAGCAATAAAATGAAGTGTTGGAGAATGTCGATAACAGAAAAGGTTGTCAAAACGGAAGCACATCAAATGTAATCGCATGCAAAAGTGAATATTTTCAGGCAACTATCAATTAAGTAGAGTTGAATTTCCTGTACAAAAAAAATTAAGTTCTTCCCATAATGGAGTCCGACAAGTACCAAAAGGACCAGAACAAGCCGGACTATAAGCTGGGCGAGCGAAACTTGGATGTTAAGTCCGATATGGAGTTCATAGACATGATTCTAAAGGACCTAAGACTGGAGGCCGAGCCAGGGGTGCGCGGTGTGGTTCTGGATATTGCCTATAGTAAGTTCAATAATTCCAAGTAAAAGCTGGTAAAAATTATAGCAAGTTCCGTGTTCAGCTCTGGCCAGGGACAAGCTCGTCGAGGCTGTGCGCTTCGCCAAGCTCTCGAATCGCATCAATCTCACCGTTGATGACCTAAAAATGGTACACCTGGAGGAGACGGACGAACTGAAGAACTGCGTGCAGACCCTGAAGAACATGGATATTGCCCAGGAAACTTTGCCCAAGCCGAACATGGAAAAGGGACTCATGCTGCCCAACTGGCGCAACTGTCAGGTGGGCGTGATGCCCGAGCTACGGGCTCCCGAGATAAAACCTACACCACGGGTTATCCCCACTCGTCCTCCTATTGTTCGTCGTCTTCCAAAGGGCCAATCGATCATACCGGCGTCTGCATTGGGAAACACTGGTGGACCCCGTATTAAAGTTATTCCATCTACATCTAAAGGTCCTATAACTGTGCGGACTACCCCTATGATGGTGATGCCAAGCTCGAAAGCTTCAGGGCCTTCTGCTATTTCTCCACCGTTCCCTAAGAAATTAAGGTTAACTTAAGGTCTAATACAGGAAAATACAAAATAAAATTATATATAAACGGAATAAATTCACGTTCCCCAAGAATCAATACCTAAGAATACGTCACTGAAATTTCAAATAAATACAATAATTATTGTAATTATTTATACTTATTTTTATAATTTCAAAAATTCACTGATATGCCAGCCAAGGTTTACCTTTAGCCTTCCAAGTTCAATGCCTGCATTACCTATCTTGAATCCATGAACAACTTGACCTCAATGATTCTTTATTTTGTCAAAAATATTATTTATTGGCGACTCTGCCTAATACCAGGTTAATTGTCTTTTCGATCCAGTTTCCGTACCTTAAAAGATTCGGAAAGACAGTAGGTCCCTGGCAATTTTGCCTACCATAACTCACAACGCCAAACTGGACGATGCGCTTTAGATCCCACACAATCCTGGCTGTTAGGGGGCTACCAGAGTCCCCGGAGCAAGTGGAGCTGGACTGGCTTCCAGCACAGAGATGGGCGGAGTCCATAGTTCTGCCAAAGAGCCTGGCGCAATGGCTAACGGGGTAGTTATGCAAGGTGGTCTGCTGAAGGACGACACTGACTTGGCTGGACTTTGTGCGACCCCAGCCGGTGATGTTGAAACGCGAAATAATATTCATGAGATGCGCCTCCATCTTGGGCAAGACCCCCACAAGCAGGCATATTGGCCTGATGTGAACTATGTTTAGAGAGAAATATGTTCTGATTATATCAAATTTAAAATTAGCTGCTAATTTTCGTATTACCGCTGTACTGCACCGTTTTATTTAGCTTGAGGAGAGCCAGGTCATGGAAGTGGAAGTCCGTATAGGGCACATAGGTATACGTGTGGGTCACGGTAAAGTCCTTGGGCCCCGGAATACAGCCGTCCCTAGTGCAATCCGAATTTTTGTGGCTAATGTCGTAATCTCCAAGACGCACTGTTCTATAACGATCGAAAATGAATATAAATTATATGAAAACAACAGTTGTAAAGCATACTCACAAAGTATAATTGCTAGTGCAATGCGCGGCAGTTAGCACAAAACCTTCAAAAGTCTTGCAATATAGCATTGTATAAAATACATTATTTATGTAAATAATTACGAGAGTGAATCAGGGAGCCTCCGCAAATCATCTGCCCGCGTTCAATAATGACTGCCATCCAGGGATTGAACAATATACCAGCATTTTGTCCGTTCACCACCTTAGCTGAGGCCTTTGCGGCAACACACTGCGAATCCAGCAAGTGTGGGACTCCCCAAACGCCCAGAATTTTCAGGACCAGGCAGACCAACAGCACAGCTTCCTTTAACTTCATTCTTCAGGGAGAACGACGAACCAACTGACGGCTTGAGATGAATGCGTTTCAAATAAAATGAATCGAAACCCCAGGCTATCAGCAAGCTTGACCCCGAGGTGTGGCGGCATTATTATATTTTATTTTTCTGGGAAATTGAAGCCATAAAAAAGAATAATATTCCCGATTGTTATTCTAGGCTTTGCTTTATTGAAGCTTTTCTAAAACTAATGATTTTCTGGGCTGCTGACCATATCGTCTAAGCCCTGCGCAAAGTCTTCCGAGAAGCGGTGGTAGTAAGAGGGCAGCTTGACGCCCAAGACACAGAAGCTCCGCTTCACCGTCTCGTTCCAGGCATCAACCATGGACTCCCGCCAGGGCTTGACCTCCGTTTGTTTATCCTCGCAGTCCTTATCGCAACGCCAGCTGCAGAATCTATGCATTAGGTCTTTGGCAAACGGCTGGATCTCCCGCTTGGCATTCTCAAAGAGGATCACCGTGTGATCAGCGCTGTCCCAGATCCCCAGCTCCTGGGTTGCATAGACCGTCCCGGCCACGAGGGCTATTCGAAAAAGCAGGAAAGCCATTAACCTAAATTTTTCAGTTTACCAAATTTTAGTTTTTGATTTTGAGAAATTTTGATAGGACTGGCTTGGCCTTTGTTCTTAAATTTTTACATATATTATTTATTTATATATTTATTGCACATTTATTAAAGTCGCCTACAAGATGTTTGACAGCGATCGTTGAATCGTCGATTCAATCTCCTCGATTTTCTCCAGAAGAATATCATGGTGTGCCCTCAACAGGCTGACCCTCTCCCTTTTATCTGTCACCAGTTTATCCGTTTTATCAAAATCCATCAGCAGCAGTGGATAGTTCATTAGGCCGCCCTTATACCTGACCTCCCGAATTTGGGCCAGCAGTTGGTTGTGCTTCACATGGCTCTGATACACTTTGGCCCGTAAGTCGGAGTGCGTCTTCCTGAGTTGGAACAGCTCGTTCTTGGCCACCCGAACCGTGCGACTCAGCAACTTGCGCCGGCACCTCAGATGCGATATGGTGTGGATTTTGTTGCAAAACAAAGTGTAAAGTCGCTCCAGCTCCGCGGTCTTAGCTGCAATTAAATGATTTCATTGTTTTAAAGACCAAACTATATTTTTTATTTGGATTCCCACTTACCACTCACGCTGCTGGCCAAACTGTTAACCTGCACTGTGGCGGCTTCATATGTGTGCAATGTCAGTCCCTCAGCTATGGTCTCCGTTTCTTCGAGTTTCTTTGGAATGCAGAATTAGTTTCCCCTTTTGCTTCTTGTTTTGTGACTTACCTTCATAACATAGGAATTGATGTGCTGCACTTTGATCAAACTAAGGCGAGTCTCGGATATTTCATTTCGTTTTTTTCTCATTTGACGAAAGACATGGTCTAGTACCTATTAGGTTTCATAGAAATTATACAATTTAACTTAATGATGCTCCAAAGGACTCACAAGCTCTAGGCGTTCCGGCACTGGAGTATGGGGCAAAAGGGTTTCCTGGATGAGATCCTCCATTCGTTTAATCTCCTTTTCATCCTGAGACTGCTTCTTTACCAGTTCAGCCTGCAATCGATCCCTCTCAGTCACGTAAATTTCCTTGGCCTCCTGCTCTTTCTTCATCTGGCAGTCCAACTTGTTGAGGGCGCTCTGGCAACGTTGCCAGTTTCCCTCGTTCATCGAGGAGTTGGGTTCCGGTGTGATCAGGGAGTACTTGAAGCGACGCAAGTGGTGCCCAGTCAGGAGATTAATCAAATATTTGTTCTTACTTCTCTCGCTGAAATCTTCCTCGACTAGAGCACAGAGGCGCTCCAATAGCTTGTGCTTGTCCAGGTTCTTCCTCAGCTGATACTCCACTGCCTCTATGCGCTCCACCACTTGGTCTACGAGTTCGTAAAGGTAGATTTGGATATTTTGACTGCTTAGCAAATCTCGCCGGTGTTGCTCACAAGGCGTTTCGATGTACGATTCCACGGGTTTTACTTTAATGAAATCCTGTATGGGATCCACTCTAACCTGCCGCGGCTGCCTGACCACCTGCCACTTATCAGCCTCGTCATGCGACTCCAATTCCGAGTCTGAGCTCATGTCTGGAATGGGTGCCTGAGAATCTGTTCTGCAACTACTTCTAGGATCTTCTAAGGAAGAAAGCTCCAAGTCCTCGTGATCCGCCTGCAACGATGTATCTTCTATTGGAAAGACAGAGGAGGTGGCATCCAGCGGATCTCGGAACTCGCCCATTAGGCTGCCCGCTTCCGCCGGCGATCCAGCAACAGTGGTCGTGGCACTGAGCTCGTCCCATTCCGGAATATTCCTGATGCCGTTCAGCAGGCCGAAGCGCACCTTTATGTTCCGGTCAGAGTCGGACTTAAGTTTAATCAAGCTCAAATCGTAAGTTTCTCCTTCGCTGAGAACACTGTCATCAGGGAAATCATCATCATCTCTAGCGGATTGCTCTTCCTCGACCTCTTCGCTTTCCAAGGAATTGGTAGCTTCTATTGGCTCTGGCTGTATTTCGACATATCCTTCAACTGGTCGCTTTTTTAGGTTATATATTGTATAGGAGACAGGAGGCCCGCTACGGTGCAAATCCAGGTTTAGTAGCCGGATCTTGCTGTTGATGGCTTCAGTGTGCTTTTCTCGTGTGGAAGGAAGTGATGAAGCCTGCGATATAGAACCCTTGCTCCGAGAGGCAGATGTGTGCATAGACTGGGATGCCGTGCTATCGTCCAAGGTAGGAGTGGATTCGGCTGTCTTAGCGTAATCTACAACATAAATCAACGAGTCTTGATTGCTGACCGGTACTGCCACGACAGTTTCGGGCGCATCCTTGCCGATTTTCGGGATTCCCTTAGCATTCCTTGGGTTTCCCTTGCCGGTATACTGGCCTTGGCTAACAGCTAATTTCGACTTCTTTGACTTTGCCATTTTCCGGAAGATCCCAAAGAAAACAAAAGTGCAACAACAAATAAATTAAAATGTGCAAAGAACATTAAAGCAACAAAACAACGAAACTTTTGTGTGTAATGAGATCATTTTTGATGGGAAACTCCCACAAGGAAAGTATTCATAAGTTTTACGTTATAGTACAAGTAAAAAAGGGAAAACACTGTAAAGATATCCGGCGAGACATTGCGCGAAAAGGACTTGGTGGGGGGATATCAAAAGCGGCTCGTTCTCTTTCGCTTCAGTACTGGACGACTGCGGGGCACTTATCTGGCCCATTGGCTCCAGTCCTTCAGTCATGGGTCATGGGATTCTCTAGCTCCTTGAAGGTGATCTCTGCCAGGGACTGCTGCTCCGGCTGCAGGAGCTCCTCTAAGTGGTCGGGGGCGGAACACTTCCTGAAGAAAAGAGGAAAAGTAAGCAGTTCGCAAGCAGTTCGATCAAGCAGATCATAGTTCCAATAAGCATATCATATTTCCAATAAGCACATCCTAATAAGAGTAAGCAGTTCAAAGTGGTTTTTTCTCAAAGGTGTGGTTACACTGGCAGCTGTTGAGCTCTTAGTCAAGTTCTGAACCCTAGCATGAGCAAACAGCGATGCCAGACTTTTCATCCGGGTGTTGTAGTTGTGGTTCAAGTATCAGATGTGGGTTTTTTAGGGGAAATTTCAACTTTTGCGATTTTTTAGAATGAAAAGCCAAAATTCCGTCTGGTAACACTGAGATTTTATTGTGTAGTCAGTGATGTTATTTTTTTCTGAGGAAAAAAGCTGGATTACCCTAAATTAAAAGCTAAAAAAGCGGAATTTCAAGGGGAAAAAACTAAGAAAAAAGCGGAGTTTTAGAAAGTAATTTATTATTTTTATTTTTTTTTATTTAATTTTATTTATAAAATATTAAATTAAAGTAGTTATGCTGCATTTGTAATGACTGCACCACAATCTGGACTATTTCAAGAATCGCAAATAAGAGTTGTGAGTAAAATAAAAATTGATAAATATTTACAAATTATTATTATTAAACTTAAAAATTAAAGTTGACGAATAATATAATAATTAAATTGCTATACACAATTAAAACAACACTTAAAAAGTAATAAAAGTTAAATTAAATAAAGTCTGCTTTTATTTTCTAAAAAATCTGGAATTCCCGCTGCCCGCTGTTTTACAATTTTTCCCGCAATCACACCTAAAAAAAAAAAAGCTGAATTTGACGGGGAAAAAAGCGGGAGTGACATCACTGTTGTGTAGTTGTTTTTTTTTTCTTCGTTAGTTTTCGTTCGTTTTTGTTGGGTTTTTTTTCGGCTGCCATTCGTCATCGCTTTGGTCCGACCTTTCGCCGCGCTCCAAGAACTTCCGGTCGCCGCTCTGCTTTTCCGCTTTTCCGCCTGTTGCTCCTGCGCGGGGTTCAAATTGGGGTGGAGCTCTCGCCCTCCCTCCCCCGCCCGCACCGACACCGTTCAGCTGTTGCGTTTGCGTGCGTGTATTCGTAGACTTTTGACCGCAAAAGGGAAATTTAAGCAACTTTAATTAGCCAAATTAGTGCCGAAAAGTGCCACCGAGAGACGGTAAGCCACCGCGGACTCTATATGCGATCGTTGCAGTTTATATAATTCGATTTGCTTTCCACCTTTGTGCGTTGTTGTTGTCTCGATTTTCTTCTCCAACTTGTTTTGCTCTCGTTCGTGTGTGTGGCAAGTGTGTGTGTGTGTGTGTGTCGCTGTTCGAGTGTGTGTGTGTGTGCTATTAATTTACGCTTTCTGCTCGGCTGCTTCAATTAATATTATTAGTTCTTTCTCTCCGCTCTTCGCTTAATTACCACACTTTTTTTTTAATTTCGCAAGCACCGAGATTTAAGCCGTTTTCCATTCCCCCTTCTGCATTTTTATTTAAATTTGTTCAATTGTGAAAATCGCGGTTTCACAAAAAAAATTGTGAAAGTTTCGTTTTCCCAATGCGGCGGCGGCTGCCTCGGCTTTTCAAACACACTCACACACACACACGCGATCAGATGGAGATAATTAATGCAGTTTTTTAAACAATAAGCTTATTTTGGATTAGAGTTTCGGTTTTATGCTCACGTCTGCACCATCACGGTGATAATCAAGATTAAAGTCTGTGTAATTATGACTCCCACAAGTAATTTTGCCCCCACAACCAGCCATTGCAACTTGCTTTCGATTTGGGTCTTTAATCTTTAACTCCTATTGGCTCCCAATAAACCCAGGCATCGTTATCTGTCTTTCAAAATACCTGTTAGATAGACGGCCTTGGCAATAAGTACCTGAAAAGAAAAAGATAGATTGAATGCCTTTTAAGGCACTTGTACAAACATTTGGATTCAGTTAAGGTTTATGTTCTGAACTCTAATTTTACAAATTATAATTAAGGCAAACTTTCATTATAAAAGCCAAGAACTTATCAGGATACTTGTTAATTTCAACACTCAACTTATTATATTCGTATCTTGGGAAACTGTCACAAAGAAGTTTAAATATTTATTGTATTTTTACATTTTTAAATTAAAAAGATTTAATAAATATAAAAAGATTTTTATAAATTGTCTAAATCGGTTATAATGATGCTCCTCTTTCTAAATAATTAATTTTTTGATTTAATTGACCTATTTATTATGCTTTTTAATCATTTTCTATATAGTAAAAACATGATGATCTTTCTTTTAAACTCATGAAAATATATTTTCACTACAGAGAACATAAAAACATCTATAGCGCTTTCTAGCCATATCTGGTTAATAGCAGTTTCACTTGGCGACCTTTGCCAATTTTAAATTATCGACAAAAAACGGTATCAATAGAAAAATCGGTTGATTAATTGTTAAACGTACAAATTAGAATAGTCTTTAATTTTCCTTATGATTTCATTAACAAAATTAACGTTTAAGTCAAGTATTTTCTGCTATGTTGATGCAATTTAGACAATCAGCAGACGAGTCTATCTACACATGACAGCTTTAGTCCTTGCAAATCGGTAGCTATGGTATTGTAACTCTTGTAAGTCGAGCAATCAAGAACATTTTAACAAAACAGAGAATCAAATATAGTTTCAACGCTAAAGATTTCCAAATAGAGAGCCACTCACAACCCTCTTTCAAAGTCTGTACCCTTTCCAGGCAGTATTATCTTTACAAAAAAACCTTTTTGTCTTGTATCTTGATTACTCATAGTCAGCAGCCAACTGCAATGTTTGTAAACTGATAGGGTTTTTTAAATAAACAGTTTTATCAGTTTGCTCTGATAAATTATGGAAATTGAATTAAAGTCAGTTCTGACGAACTATCTAATAATGCTATGAAAATACATCAAAATAATAATGTCTTTACTTCCCACAGCTTACCTTGATGTTGGGCAGTGTATGAAGATGTTGTGATGGCGAAGATGGCATCGGGAGATCTTTCCCTGACCAGCACGAGCAGTCAGGAGGGTAAGCCTTCGACCCCTCCCAACCTGAATCTCCATTAATTTCATTACATTTCAGAAGAGAGCTCGGAGTATGTGGGCTACGACAGCACCCTCCGGCCGCCGTCCAACTCCAGTGGCAGCACCACAGCCGCCAATATGGCCAACAACAATGGGCCCTCGAAGGGCGTCAATAGCGGCGTGGGAGTGCCAGGCGTTTCCGGTGGAAACGGAACCAAGTACGACCTACTGCAGTCGCAGTACAAGGCCGCTCTCCACGAGCTGGCCACATTGCGTCACCAGCATGCAAACTCGAAGCGGCGTTGCGACGAGCTGTCCAGTGAGCTGAGTCTCTACCAGGAACACTACATGGCCGACCGCAACAAGTTCACGGACATCGTTGAGGAGAGCGCCCGGCTGAAGCGGTTGCTCCTGGAGACGCAGCAGCAGAACCAGCAGAGCCAGAATGGCAATAGCCAAGCGGCACCCGTGGGCAGTGGCAATCCCTACTATTTTGGCAAGACACAGGGCTGCGACGGCAGCTGCAGCGAGAAGATGGCCGAGCTGAAGAAGGAGCGGAACATGGCCGCCGTGGAGCGGGAGAAGTACAAGAAGTCGTACATTGAGCTGGAGAAGGATCGCAACTACTACAGGGAGCGGGGCGACGAGAATCAAACGCTGAAGGTTTTGCTATCCAAGGAGACCAAGAACGTGGTCTCGCTCACCGAGGAGCTGAACCAACTGCTCTCCGAGAAGGACAATGTGCTGCAGGAGCACCAAAAGATGTCCGACGACCTGGTGCTGGCCAACAAGGAGATTGAGCGCCTCAAGAAGGATGAGCAGCTGGCCAGGGGCGAGATCAAGGCTCTGCAGCTGGCCAACGCTGAGCTGAAGAAGCGCGACCTGCTCAAGTCGCGCGAGAGCTCCTGGTCGAAGGAGTTCCCCAGCGGCAAGGAGCTAGAGAACAGCAAGGAGCTGGAAAAGCTGCGCAAGAGCCTCGAGAAAGCCCTCTCCGAGGTGGAACGCTCCAGTCAGGATGCCGAGGAGGCGAAGCGCGTGAGGGACTGGGCCATCTCGCAGCGCGAGAAGATTGTACAGGAGCGCGACTCGGTGAAGACGCTCTGCGACAAGATGCGCCACGAGCGGGACAAGGCCATCTCGGACTCGCTGATGGCCATCCGTGACAGCGAGAAGATCAAGAAGCAGAAGGACGAGGCCCAGAAGAAGATCGATCTGCTGAAGGAGCAAATGGAGCAGCAGGAGCGCCACAATCTGGACAGCAGTGCCTCTGGCTCGCGACGCAGCTTCCGCCTGAGCAGCTACGAGGGCGAGGATCTCCTGGAGGTGGAGCTGTGCGGCTACGAGCACAACTCCGACCTGGGCATCATCCTGGATGACAGCAACAAGCGGAAGCTGGTTTGCGGGGTGACCAGCAGCTCGCCCGCCTGCGGGAAGCTCAAGATCAACGATGTGATCTGCAAGGTGAATAACCTGGACTGCCAGTCATTATCCAAGCGGATGGTCCTCGACGAGATACGCGCCTGTGCCCCGCGCTCGCTGCTCCTCGTCTCCCGTACGCGTCACAGCAAGCGGCACGCCTACTCCGTCCAGCTGAAGACCAGGGATCGCGACTGCCCGCACGGCCTGCAGCTGGACATGGGCGTGTTCATCGCCAAGATCGAGCAGAACTCGCTGGCCTTCTACGAGCCGGAGCTGGACGTTGGCGATCGCGTGCTGAGCATCAACAACAAGTCCATGGACTCGGTGCAGTCCATCGAGGAGGTGATCCAGCTGCTCAACGACCCGCGCAGCGATGGCCTCAACCTTTTCGCCCTCAAGTATGTGCAGGATCAGCTTCCGCCGGGCATGACCACCTCTTCGGCGCAAACGGATTCCATTGACTCCATGCAGCACGTGTCAAGCAGCGGCGGTGGAGGAGGAGGAAGTGGAGCCAGCAGCGCCACCAAGCATCCGTCCAAGTTCGCCGAGTTCTTTTTCCGCAAACTAAAGTTCAGCAAGCCGGGCACGCCGGAGGACAACTTTGAGCAGGAGCATGACGACGCCATCGCTGCCCTGGACTCGGTGCTGAGCGAAAACAGCTCGGAGAAGAGCAAGGAGAACCTGTTCAACCGCAAGAAGCGCACCAAGAAGGAGAAGGAGGCCTCCAAGAGCATGGGCACCTGGCCGCGCACCAACATCTCGCACGACAATCCCACTGGCACCATGCGCGGCAACGAGAAGAAGCGCGCCCTGATGTCCCTCTTCACTGCGGGACCCATCAACGTGGACAAGGACGATGAGCTGGTGGGCGATGTTGGCGTTCCCGAGAAGCATACGCCGCCGGTGCTGATGCAGGAGCAGCTGCCTCCTCCCCTGCCGCCCCAGATGTCAAAGCCCTTGGCGCACATTCGTGGTGCCAATGGGAGTGCCATCAAGGCTCATCCCAACCGCAACTCCAATCCGGTGAGCTCGGGCGCCTCAGTGCTGTTTCCGCCTGGCTCCTCTGGAGGCATGCCCATGGCGGGATATCCCACGCACCCGCGGCACTCGCTCTACGGCGGAGTCATGAGCCCCGAGGAGCCAAGCCCTCAGAAGCCCTTGCAGAGAGCTGCGCCTTTGATGGGCGCCAACGCCCGGGTAAAGATGCCGTCGCAGGAACGGTACGGCACCCGGCCACACAGCAATCATCGCCTGTCGCTAAATATTACGCCCAGCGGCGACTTCTACCAGCCGAAGACGAGCGGCCAGCAGGCCCAGCAGCAGGTGATGAACGCCTCCTCGGGCTCCACTGGCTTGGCAGGAGTTACGGGTCCGGCGGCCGGCGAGTTTCCGGTGCGCAAGCAGCAAGTCTTCGATGTCTTTCATCCGCCACCACTGCCCAAATCCAGCTCTGGATCCAATCCCAATGCCGTGTTCATGCCCCTGAATCCGCCAAGAGGCAGTCACCCGCTTCCCGGGGGCCAGCATGCCGACGTGGTGTCCCTGAAGTCCCAGAACTCCATTGAGTCGATACTGTCCGCGAAGAGTCCGGCGATTAGCGAGTACGGGGTGTACGCCAAGCGCCATGTGCCCATGCCGCAGGCGGTGAGACACGTGCCCAAGTATCCCAGCGATAGCGAGAGCATCGGTTCCGGTATTCACGGCGGCTACGGCGGCTTCCTTCAGTCCGCCCATCTCCCGGGCAACCGGCACACGCAGCTCTTCCCCAGCTTTGGGCCCGGCGTAAGGAACAACAGGCGATCCAGCCCCCTGACTCTGCCCTCGCCGCCGCCACAGCAGCAGCAGATGCAACAAATGCAGCAGCTGCCGGGCCAACAGCCGCCGCACGACAGCGTGGGAATACCCACTGACCTGGACGGCTACCATCCCCACCACCATGTGCAGCAAGCCAACCAGCTGCCTCATCCCCATCCACACCCGCATGCGCCGTACCTGGACTACAGCCACGGACCCTATCCCTACATGGGCGTGGGTGCCACCGGCGGCGGGGTCTCCGGGGTGGGCGGCGTCATCTACGAGGGTGGCACCTTTCCCCGCAAGAAGGACAACCAGCGGCTGAGGATACCATCCAATCCCAGTGTGGCCAGCAAGAGCAGCAACATGGTAAAGAACAGTTCGGGCAGCATTGACCATCACTATGTGAGCAGCACGGCGCCACCCAGCGGTGGATCCATGTCTGCCTCCTCCTCCGACCGGGCACCCATCTCCCTGATGAGCTCCAGCATCCACAACAGCTTTGGTGGCAATATGGTGGGCGGAAACGGTGGAGCTGGCTCGGCAGTGGGAGTGGCAGGAGGCGGTGGCGGGGGAGGAGGCGGCAGCGGGCGTGGTTCGCCCATGCCGCAGGTCCATGTAGAGGTCCTCAGCCACGGCGGCGGCGGGAGTGGAAAGCGCAACTCCAATGTGCCCGCGGATTTTCTGTGCCCCGGAGACCTTAGAAGAGTCACCATCGACAAGCGCGACAAGTCGCTCGGCATCACCATTCAGTGCAACAACAACGGCGGAGGCATCTTCGTGTCCACCGTTGCCGACAAGAGCACAGCGATGCGTGCCGGTCTCCAGGTGGGCGATCAACTCTTGGAAGTGTGCGGCATCAACATGCGAGCGGCCACGCAGGAGATAGCGGCCAATGTGCTGCGCCAGTGCGGCGATTCCTTTACAATGCTGGTGCAATACAATCCGGAGAGTAAGTCACCGAGCCAGCTATCCCTTCCAAGCTAATCTCTATCACTGCTTTCCAGAGTTCCCTTCAATGGAGTACGAGGGAGCGCACAATCTAGAACCAGAATCTCCCATCAATCACTCTGGCTCGCCAACGCCACGTAACTCGCCGCGTCCGCCGGCTCGCAACTCCCTGTTCCCGCTGCCCCTGCAGCCCCTGCAACCGCCCCAGTCGACGCGCTCCGGCTCAAGGGCTCCGCTCTCACATCAGTCCATCAAGGACCAGAGCTTCGCCGACAGCCTGGAGAATCAATCGGATATCAGCAGCAGCCAGGACATGCCCTCGTCGGCGGCCACCACCACCACCACGACAGCCTCAGCCACGTCGACGGTGTATGATGAGGAGCCAAAGCCGGCCCTGCCGCCGCCGCCTGCCTCGGTGCCGTCAGAGAGTACGTAGTTACCAAAACACTCCAACTTCACTCAACTCCTACTACTAACCACACTCCCCACCACGCTGAGTAAGGTATAAGTTTCGAGGTTGGTTATTTTACCAGACTTTGCCATGTGCATTGTTCCCAATCCTTTTCCAAAGCTTGCTTCCCACTAACCAATATCCCTCCTCAAACTCTGTTCATTTATTTCATTAATTGTGTTATTTATTGCTTCAGCTCTAAGGTATGTGACTCTGCACATGGACAAGTCAAAGAACTTGGGCATCAAGCTGTTCGGGGGCAACAAGGTGGGCATCTATGTGCACGACGTGGCGCCCGGATCACCCTCGGATCATGCAGGAATACGCAAGGGCGACCAGATACTGGAGTACAATGGCGTGGATCTGAGCGCAGTCACCGCCGAGCAGGCGGCCAATGAGATCTCCAAGCTAACGGACACGGTCACCATGCTGGTGCAGAATAAGCTGCACAGTGAGTAGCCATTCGTGTTGATTTCGGATTGAAAGGTAACCTAATCTATTTATCAAACAGCGCTGAAGCAAATCAAGGACGAGCCCGGGGACTCGTTTTACATTCGCGTGGGGTTTGATCGCATTGGTGAGCTGAATGAGGACGACTTGCGTTTTGTCAAGGACGAAGTGCTCTACGTGGACAATACGGTTTTTAATGGCACTTTTGGCCTGTGGCGGGCCTGGAAATTGGACGCTATGGGGCATCGCAAAGAGTGCGGCATTATACCGAGTCAAATGAAGTAAGCTTAAGATTTTTTAATAATATTTTCATTAACATGCTCTCTCTTTAGGGTGGAGGAGGAACTACGATCCGGTGAGGTGGTGGACTGTGATACGGGCACCGCCAGACGCGGCAGCACCTCAGCCAGGCGATCGTTTTTTCGTCGCAAAAAGAACCAGCGCAGCTCGTCCAGGGACTCCACGGAGATTGCCAGCTTCAGCAATACGCAGCTCAGCTTCTTTCCAGACTTAGGCCTGCTCAACGATGACGGCGGTGCCCTGAGCTACCAGCGTGTGGAGCTGCTGGACTGTAAGTTTCCGTCTAAAAACTTGAAGAAATTAGCTAAATATCCTCCCTTAGCGCCCGTTCGTCGGCCCGTGCTTATCATCGGACCGCTTTCCGAGTGTCTGATGGATCGCTTGGTTATCGACTTCTCCAACCTGTTCAAGCTATGCGAGGTGACGGCCATGGACTGCTCGCAGGAGGCCATGGAGGAGGGCCTGAAGGAGAACATCTTTGTGGACTATCGCCGGCGGGGCAACAAGTTTGAGTGCACCACCGTGGAGGCCATTGGCAATGCCTGCAAGAACGTAAATTTTTCCACCAGGATTTTACTTTAAAGTCAGAAAAATAAATCAAATCCCTTTGCAGGATCGACGCCACTGTATCCTGGACGTTTCCATATCCGCCGTTGAGCGTCTGCAGCGCTTGCAAATCTATCCGATTGTCCTACTGTTGCGCTTCAAGTCGGCCAAGCAAATCAGGGACATTCGCGACTTTGGCACCGACAAAATCTCGGCCAAGGCGGCCAAGGAGATGTACGAGCGGGCCATGAAGCTGGAGACCGACTACAAGCAGTACATATCAGGTAAAGAGTCAAAGAGAGTCTGCCCTCAAGCTCCAATTAAAGCGTTTTGTTTATTACAGCCGTCATACCCGGCGTCAGCATCAAGCACATGTGCACCCAAATCAAGGATGCCGTCGACAAGGAGCAGGACAAACTGCTCTGGGTGCCAGTGTCGTCTTGAGCCCCCGTCTAGGGCTTCCTAGTTTTAGTTATTTAGCGCGACACTCACGCCTAGTATTCTTTAAAGCGCAGCAATAGTATCGAGCTCGTTCGTATTCGATTCGTTACGTTTCGTTCAACACAGAGTATTCAATGGGCGTGGCTAGCAACGCACGGTATTTCTACCTGTTTCATGTCTCTGTCTCGTGTCACCTAATTTATGTCTGTAGTTGTAGTGTTTTCTCAAGCTAAAGTTGATCACAAAGCAATTTATATGTCTTATTTATATATATATACATATATACTTCGTCTGGAGCTAGATTTCCGTCTAAAGTCTAAGGTGACAAGCTAAGCCAAAAGTCTGTTTTGTATGCAATTTATTATTATGTATTTATAAGTACATAAATCTATATATGCCTTTTATGCACCCAAACGATTCTAGTTTGGCCTTGAACCCCCCTTCAAGCTGTTCAACTGTTCAACTGTGAATATTAAATAGATTCTTCTTCAAAATCGAGCTTTACTTACCACTACTTCTGGCCGACACTGAAAGTCAGGACGCGGCAGTCTGTTGAGCAACATTAAAATCTTTTATTTAATTAAGTGATTGACAAAATGGAGCTATCACTAGCCTTAGGTGGTAAACGGTTAAACTGATATAAAATGCGTGAAAATGCCTTCTTCAAATTGCAAAACAAATACAAAAACGCAACCTTTTTCTACACGTAAATACAATTTATAAATCTAATTTATCAAAGTACCCTTCTATGCCTTAAAGAGAGTAAACAATATATCAACGTATTAAATACAAATAAAGTCTATTTTATACAAAACGTAAGCATTCTAAATATACAGACTACATACATATATATAAATATATATTTGATTGCGTACAATAAATATTTTTCCAAAAAGCCTTAGCTCTTTGTTCTGGGGATGGATTTTGGGTAAAGTTGACGTTATGGCCACAATTATGGTTATGCTTACAGCTAAAATGTGAATAAATAGATGCTTAACTCTAGTAAATACCATCGGACACAGCTCAGGGGCCGTGGTGCGTTCGCAAGTATTTCAAGGTACATTCGCTCTTCAAGTTTTGTGCTACATTGGGCATTATGTTGGCCTATATTTACATTAACATAATGCCCCACTTAGGTGGTAAGCTTATTGTTATATCTGTTTGAACTTATCATATTTTTAAAAGTAAAGGTTTATACAGGAATCATTTATATACAGGGTTACCTTAGAAATCGGTATGGATTTGAAATTAATTAGAATATGGCTAAAAGTATTCTGTAAAATATTCTGCAGCATACTTTTAGACCGCATTAAAAGTGATCTTAAATCCACAACTATTTCTTAGGCATCCTACATAATATATAAAAGTGGTTTTCAGGAATAAGTTAACTCTATAAAATCTTAATCTACTGTACAATTGATCTTCACGAAGGAATCCCTTCCAGGATTAACCCTCTAAGAAGTCAAAGTCATCGCGTGGACGGTACCACTCATCAGTGGCGTGCTCGTAGATCGCTCTCTGGACCTCCGCCTCGGCCGCTTCGATGGGATCAGACTTCGGAGCTGGACCGTCAAAGCTGCTATCGGACCGCGGACTGCGGGACGTGGCCCGGAACTCCATCGGGATGTTGTAGCACTTGCAGATGCAGCTGGACGGGAACCGGAACCAGTCGGAGAAGATGCCGCGGCACTCGTTGTGCGGATCGTAGGCCAGCAGCCGGTGCAGGCGATACTGCTGTTCGCACCTGCAGCCATCGCGGCAGAACATCTGCTTGAACTCGTGGGTGCATTTCTCCCAGTGCACATACTGCTCGAACGGATACAGGTTAAGCAGGGCCAGCACCTCGCCGCGGGTGTTGTTGGCCCAAAAGGGGGCCACCACCTCATCCTTTACGGGACAGGCGTTACTGCAAATGAGGAAGAAGTATAAATAATAATATTTCTTAGAAGCTTTTGCCAAAACTTACACGCCCCGCAGGTTGCTTGCCACAGCGACGGGCTCCTGCTTCATGGCATCCTGGAACAGTTGCCCCTCCCTCAGCAGGCCCGACTTGGTTCCCGTCTGGAGCCCACCCAGTGGCGCAGCCGGAGCTGGCACAGTGGTGCTGCTGGTGGTCAGCGGCCTGCGCAGCCTCTCCGGACTGAAGGCTCCGCCAGAAGTGCCGGAGAAAAGCGAGGCGAAGCTAACGGGTGTCGTCACGGATGCTGAGGAGGCTGTCGAAGACTTGGTCAGGTTGCGACGGATCAGCAGCATGGGTGTAGTTGTGCTTGGAGCTGTCGTTGAGCTAGGGGAAGTCGTAGGTGCAGCTGTAGTGGTCTCTGCAGGCTTCCTCTTTTTAGCTGGAGAGGCGACAGAGCTCTTGGGTAGCGATGTGGGCTTTAAAGTGGTGGCAACCAGTGGCTCCTGGGAGGACTGAGCCTCTCCGCTGAGGTTACGCAATCCCAGCTGCGGTGAATCGATGATCTGAATATTTTCACCAGCCGGAGTTGAAGGTTTTCCAGTGGTGGTTGACGGAACTGCAGATGGCACTACTTCATAGACGCTATTCGACTCTGGACTGGGCAGGATCTCCACAACGTCTGCCTCTAGTTCAGGTTCCTTGGGAGAAGGTGGAGGCACAGTAGAAGTAGTGGTGGCTTCAGAAATGGTCACATTTCCAGGCGTGGAGGAAGCCACCTCGTTGGTGCTTTTTTCCGTGGTGCTACTACTAGTTGTGGGCGCTGCAGTTGTCGTCGCAGCCTTCGTGGTGCTTGTCGTGCTGGTGGAAACCGGTCGAAAATGAGGTTCCATCAACACATCGTTGTTCTTGAAACTCCCGAAATCATCTCGATCGCGATCCCGATCCCTGCCGCGCATCAAGTACTTGGCACTCCGTCGACCGGCATCCTTGCTGTACCGCTCCGCCGTCTCCTCAATGTCGTCCGCGTCCACCTCGTTGTTCTGGATCTCGTCTCGCAGTATGGAGATGTGGCGCACGTCGCCGTACATGCGCTTCATCAAGCCCTGATTTTCGTGCACGAACCGCCGGACGGCGTGCCACGGATAGGCAGTGCCGGGCAGGTGACAGAAAGCCTGCTTGCCCAGGTCGCAGGGAATCGCCGCCAGCATTTGGGCGCGACCCCGGCGAGACATCTTGCCATTGGGACATGAGTTGGCCGAGTCGAAGCCGAATCCTGCCAAGACTGTCGGTAAAGCTACCACTACGATGAGCAGCAGACTCCAGATGACACGGTTCTGCAATGGTTAAAAAGGGAATATTAATGTTATGCGAATGAAAATGTTATTATTGGGGATTTTAAATCTATAAAAAGCTCTAATGTATCTACAAGAAAAAAGGTTAATTAATAGCTTATGGAATTCACAGGGAAGGGACATGGCTACATCATCTTGGTTGTTGCATGTGAACAATATTCAATGCTAATGCAACTGGGAAGACGGGATAGACTGTAAAGACCGGGCGCTCTCACTCAGTTAAGCAAATTGCCAGAGACTCGGCTGCTGGCAGCCGGTAGAAAATCAAATTTTACTTTCACGCGAAGCCAACTGGACAATCACAAGTCATAAAGATGATCGATGTGCATTTGCATGCCACCTCCAGACTGCAGTGGAGAGACAGGGAGAATGGCCGCAATTGCATCGTCGCCATTACACAGTAAAAGATTTTATGCTTCAAAAATATTCCTAAAATGTTCATTGAAAAATGTTGATATAATAGTAATTAATAGTATTTATTATTATTTATTATTATTACTATTTTGAAAACCTCTTATATTTATAAAATATGCGTATTAAGCTCTCCAGAACCTAACATGCCCGATTTCTCACCGTGCAGTTGCACCGGCAAGCCAGACTGGCCGCCGACCACTGCAGATCACCGTCTCGCCCCGCACGGGAGGTCTCACTCCAGCCGAGTGGTTCACCGGCAACCGGCAGCTGGCCAGCTGGCCATGGATAATGGACGACGGACGACCGACGACGGACAACTGGTCACCGGACAACACAACGGTTACTGGCAGCCGGCAAAGTGAAATGCAAAGAGCAATCAAAAGCGAAATGGGTTACCCAAGTAAAAGTAAATTGCGGCGAGCTGGAAAAGCCGAGGCATTTCCAAGGGCTTTCAACTTTCCTTTTCGGTTGCACAATTGCTGGCGCAGTCCCAGTTCAGTTCACTTTGCTTTGGTCTGCTCCCAAATAGGGTCTCTCGGTCCGTCTCTTTGCGTCTTCTTCGAGGGTCTCTGGTGGCTCTCTGTGGCAAACTGGTTGGCCAAAATTGATATGCATTCGGTGTTCAGTTATCGCCCATCACATATGGCGCACACCTATATGTATGGGGTATCGATCGCGGGTGAATCACTCGCCGCGAGAGTCCGAGAGAAAAGAAAGTGATCGACTCTGATTCGGCTCCCTTGTGGGCTGTTTTGCTGGCGGATGTGTGCCAGAAATGTGAGCTCAACGATGCCGCCATGCGATTAGGTAACGGAGATCTCTGGCCATCAGTGAGTTTCGGGGAAAATTCCCGCCCCGATTAGCATACGTAAGGCAAGGTCAAAGCTATTTCATAATTTTTATCCAGAAATTTCCATGTCAGAGTGGGCTTGGTTTTATGCAAAGCATATAGCGGAGGTATCGTTTAAGTTGTATATTTTATTATAAGAAAGTTTTTATGCATAAAATGATGTATAGGTAAGCAGGTATTAAGCAGAATTTTTAAACCAATTAAATTATAAATTCTTCTTTAAAGTTTTCTCATCAGAACGCACTTCAAGCTTGAATAAGAGATCAAAGAAAGTTTAAGTTGAAATCCATGTACTCAAGTCAACTTTGTATATCAATGACTGCGTGGAATTCCTTTGCCCGCAATAACAACTCCCTTTTCACCGATTTAGACAAGTACTTCAATCAAGTGCTCCAGGGCACCCCGACCATGGCAATTACGTGAAGAAAGTGAGTTATATGAGGTTGAAATCCGAGGATGAGACCGCAACTTGGGTGCGAAACAAATGGCGGCTCTCTGCGAACTAATTTGTGTTGAAAATCAAATCAGGTCACACCGCAAGAGAAGACGCTGCCTGGCCTGAAATGGAAAGCAGAATTACTTTCGCTTTGTTCGGCTAAAAAAAAAAAGAAGATAAATAACGCTGCTGTTTGGCATTAGTGTCGATTGTCATGTGCAGCGAGACAATTAAACCGAATATCATTCATTAACATTGTCATATTTCTTGGAAGCCAAGGAGCCACAGGGAAATTGGAGCAAATGCTGCTGTCAGCGTCCAAAGTTGGCGAAACAAATCAATATGTCCAATCAGCCGTGAGAGCCAGCCACTGGTGCAGTGTCAGTGATGTTGTTCTAACTAGTGGTTAGCTTTAAAATCTTGTTCTAAATGAAATTCTGACATACTGTTCGACATTATAAACATCTTAGATCTAAGTTTATAAAGTAACCATTAACCGAAGTCGCACTATAACCTCTTTTAATCTTTTTCAAAGTCTTAACAATATATAGCTCTCCATTTTTGAACTCTAATACAGCCTTCCTTTTAGTCGCATAACACCTTATCGAACTTTAATCATATAAATATTAATAATTAATTCAATATTCTTAAGTTCAAGAGCCCTAAGGAGTGCCTATAGCTACAAATTCAGCTACTCTTTGCTATCCACAGTGGTCACCACTGAATGGATGGCGGCGGTGCGATGCTGCGGTGCAGTGCAAATGGGCATTAAGTCAACTCGCATCGAGGAAGACATTTGTCAATCGCAGACGATGCCGAGCTGTCGCCAGAGAAACGTATTGCAACACTTTAATGTGTCAGCGACTTTCTACGAAAACCCAGTCCGGCGCGGAGAGGGCGCAATGGATGCGGGAGGATGAGGCAGAGCACGTTCCAGTCTATGTCTTCATTTCCCAAATACAATGTTGCCCGTCCCCGCTCTCGTACCCATTCCCGTTCCCGCCAGGTCCAGCTGCAACTGGCCAACTCTCTTGGCGAGCGCGGCGGCGGCTAGAATGAATTATTTATAAATTCAATTGGCTCTGGAAATGAAGTTGATGTTACACTTAACCAAATTTGGCCAAGTCGCTGATGTTTCTGCTAATTGCCAGATGCAGCATCAGCAGCAGTAGCAGCAGCACCGCCACCAGCTGGCGAATGGTGAAATTTTCACGACCAAAACAAAAGACTTAGGCGACAAACTTGACTCGAGACGAACGCGGCATTTCCTCCGAGCAGAACCCAGCAATGCATATTCATGGCGAAATGGTTAATTAAACGAAAAGTTTCACTGATTTTAAACAGCGCCGGAAAAGGTCGCTTCCTGATTTGGCCAGTCGATATTTTTGGGGCTGCTGATTCGCTTTTGGTTTGGTTGTTTTGCTTTTTTTTTTTGGCTTTGTTATGGACTCTTGTGCTTGTGCTGGGGTTTGGGCCAAATCCAACAAGTCAATCCCAGCCGGCCGTATTTGCTCTCGAAGAAAGTGAAACTTTTCATTTTATTCCGCGTCTCTCTCTCTGTCTCTCTGCTTCTTTATCTTTCTCTTGGGGACCGGCAATGCGAACAACAACAGCACACACAGCGGAAACTTTAAGCATTTTCGTTGTTGGTTATGCTTTTATGATTGCGTGGTCATGCGTTGAAAGAAAGAAAAAATAATAAAAGACAAACACACCTCACAGGGGGAAGGCAGAAGCTGTTAATATGCATAAAACGCTTAGCATTATCGTTTATCGATTTCAACACATTTTGAAAAATTGTTGCGCCAGAGACATGTGACCATTTTTTAATTGCGTTTTCCTTTTTTTTTTTGTCAATGGGAAAATGAAGATTAAAGTGTTTACGGAATTGATTAATGATTTGAGATAATATTATTTAAGGCTGCTGTGATGCTCTTATAGCAGACTAAATATAGATATTATATTAATTGCTATAATAATACAAGCTCTTCCTAAAGTTCATTGTAAAAATCTTAGCTTTTTAAAGAAATATATTAAAAAGTTATCAAGGTAAAAAATTTTAAATATATTTGAAACTCTAAGGAATCTCAAAATATTCTTTATGTGATTGCAATTGTATGCACTCAAGGTTTTCTTTAGAAAATATATAAATATTGCTATGTCCACTTTGGAATTAATGGATATAATCCTACAGTTCTTCTTTTAATCATAATATATTTACGATATTTTCGGTTTGCTATAAACCGTTTTTTTACCATATATTTCCACACCATAAGAGAGCTTATTTATATCAATAAATAATACTTTCGTTTAGCGTTTTACACCTTGCTTTCTGATGCAATTGTCTTTATTTATTTTTTATTTTTTGACACTTTATTATGCAAGACAATCCCCCGAAATTTCAGGCCGTTACACAAGCCCAACACTTACCGTTATTAGTTTAGTGATCCGCGATCGCCTATCCATTTGGGTGCGATCCATTGTTTACTTTCACTCGATCCGACACTCGCCGCGTCGATGGCCAAATGCCAAATGCTGATTGCCGAATGCAAAATAGCTGGCAAATAGAAATCTGTCAAAGGATTTGGCAATGTTTCACTTCGCGACAGCTTACGCGGACTTCACACTCGCACACACACTCTCTTCTCGGGGCTATGAAAATTAGTGGTAAAATCCATATTTCCACACTGCTGCAAATCGTATGCAGTTGCCGCGACCTCTGGGGTCCCGCTTCTGTTGTTTCTATTTGTATTTTCCTTTTTTTTTCGGGTGGGCTTTTCCCACCGAGGAAATCGAGGAGAAGCAGCAGTCAAAATCCGAAAATCACGTTCACACGCTCCGCACTCACGTTTGCAACTGCGACGCCAGCAGTGGCGGCTCGAGCTCCAAGTCCCGCTGTCGAGCCACGGCCTCCCTCTTTCTCTTTCTCTCGTCACACTGGAAAAAAAAATCACTTATTTAGGAGTACTTTTCATTGTTAGTACCAGAGAATATTTTGGAATATATTTTATATTATAAACGACAAGATTTGAAATAAAAACTGTTTTCCGATTAATCATTACTCTTTGTTTTTATTTTAATTAAGAATATTAATGTAGAAAATTTAATTTATAACTAATAAGCACAGCTAAATTTGCCTATTAATATTAATTATTTTACCATAAGTTGTATGATCTTTATAAAGTGTATTTAATATATCTATGAATATATTGATTAATTTTATAAGGTAACTGAATAATAATCGTTAATTATTATATATATATTTATTAACTATTTTTTTGTCAAGTGCAGACACAGACGAATTCTGCAAGAGCAGAAGAGAGAGAAGCTAAGCGATCCATCGATGGGTCTTAGCTCTGCGCGCCAGCGAAAACGCTTTTTATTTTTACGGCTCATGTTGCTTTTGTTTTTGCCTTTTGGTTTGCTTTTGCAGGAAAACTTTTTCTTATTTATTATTCGTCGACGACAAACGCTGAAAAACGACCCATCGCAAAAAAATACAAGAAAAAACAAGAAAGAAAGCTAACTTTGGCCAGTCGAAGTTTTTATACCCTTGCAGGTAACAATTAAAATGTATCATAACTAAGCCAAAAATGCATTAATTTCGATTCGGAAAGCAGTTTTGCGTTAGTTTTTATTAACTTAAAAAAACTGCATACCAAATTTAAAATTTTAAGAAATCAAAATTTTTGGCCATTTTTGCTAATTTTAATGATGTAACCCCTTATAAAATTTTGCAAAAATGGCCAAAATCGATTTCTTCCGGACATATCTAGAAAGATTCGCATGTTAATGCTGATCAAGAATATATATGGTTTATGGGGTTGGAAATGATTCCTTGACTTAGAAAAATATTATTTTGTATTATAAAATCTGATTTTTTATATTAAAAAACGTCTTGATTTTTTTTTTAATTAAAAATATCATAACTCGGCCAAAAGAACATTAATTTTAAATCGGAAAACTGTTCTATGCAAGATTTTTTACAGTTAATAAATCTGCATACTTCATTTAAAAATTTTGAAAATTTAATTTTTTATCAAAATCTAAAATTTTAATGATGTAATGATGTATATAAGGGGTTACCCTTATATAATTTTGCAAAAATGGCCAAAAAATCGATTTCTTCCTGACATATCTAGAAAGATTCCCCTGTTGATGCTGATCAAGAATATATATACTTTATATGGTCGGAAACGTCTTCTTCACTGCGTTGCAAACTTCTGACTGAAATTATAATACCCTGCAAGGGTATAAAAAGCTATAGAGTACCTTGAGTATTCCAATTAAGACAACTCTTCAACTAAGGTTGCTAGATCGACTTGGCTGTTGAGGCTCACCTGGAAAGTACTTTTTACTTTTTAAGATCGCAACCATTTCTTCCTTTCCTTTGCATTTCAAGGTTCTCATATACATTATTATACCCTCTGCAAGGGTATCAAAAAGCAAGACTGAAGAGGAGTACTCGCACACACCGACCAGAAAAAGCGCCACACGCAACGCCAGAGCCGAAGCTGCAACGGTGGCTTCGGGTGCACGAGCCGAACCGAAGCCCCAGCCCCAACCCCTCCTCAACAGCAAGAACAACAACAACTGATGATGGAGCAGAGTGCGTCGCGCCGCAGCTTAGTAGGTCAGTAGTGGACCCGAGCATTTGTTGTTGTTCAGTGCTCTGTTGCTCCATCTGCAGGCGGGGATTAGACGTCGCGACGAGAGCTTGTTTTGGCGCGCATCTTCGAAGCTTGATTGCAGCGGGAGACCAGGATTGCGAGGGTCGACCGAGAGAGTTGTCAGCTGATCGGGCGAAAACTTATTCGCTGTTGCTTGAAAATTAAATTAAAAAAAACAGGAATTATCATTACAACCCTCCTTAAGTTCAAGTATAGTACTTTCTACTGAATCTAAATAATTTATCTGATTTTCTTGTTAATATTAACTCATTAACGTTAAAATTAATTCTTCGTTTTAAAGGGAAAAGTAAAAACGTATACGTAATCAATTAAATAAATAATAAATTACGTATACGCATTTATTTTTTCCTTTTAAAAAGAAGAATTCATTTTAACATTAAATTTTAATTCAATTAAATGACAATTTAAATATTTATTTAAGTACGGCAATGCAATTCCTTTGGCTACCCTCGCCTTACACTCATCAGCGAACTGTTGAAAGCGGCTTGTTGGTCGCCGTTTAATTATCGTTGTGTGTTTATTATGTTCTCGGCCGCCCAACCCCCTCGGCCCCGCCCACTGTCCACCGCCCACCGCCCACTGATGCCTCATCTCCGCCCACGAGACCCGGCACGATCAGTATTGTGTTACTGCAGCTCCTCCGTCGTCCTCTGTTTTTTATTGGCACGAAGTTCTCCATTGAGTAAGTATTGCGCCACCGGAGGAACGACTGGTGGACCGAGTTCGGGTCCAGTTGTGGAGTGGGTGGTCCTCCCCGGTTCCTCCCGCTTCCCATGAACTTTTCTGGACACAAAACGGGTTCTCTGCTGGCGTTTGCCAAATTATTTGGATTGCGAAATCTGTGAAATGGTATACAGAATGTAAGAAGGTAAACAAATATAGTAACTGAATTGTTATTGTTATTATGGCACAAAACGTAAATAATTTAAATGTTTAAATAAGTCAATTTAAAGGAATATTTTAAAGATATTGTGGGTTTCATGGAATATTTTAAGAACTTTTATAAATTTATGGCAAAAGTGTCTAATGTCTGTTCTGCCTTTTTATACATTATGTATAACATAGCTTAAAAGTAATTTTGTAATTATAATAGTTAGCTATAATTTTCCAGTCGCTGTTTTTTTTTGCCATTTACTCTCCCACTTGGTTATTTAGGCCAAAGCAAGTGAAAGTGCCAAAATAATATTAAGAGCGACCACGGTCTGGGAAGCAGGTTTACGCCATTTGAGCGGCTGAATCGGATTTTAACGATTTACTATAGTACCATATAACTTAAGAGCAGTGGGTTAATGTACCATACGCCTGCTCACAATTATACGACACTCCGAAAATGTTCGTAGGAAAATCGGAAAGAAAATAACAACATTATTGAGAGAATTCTGCTTAAAATCTGATTATCTTATCACTGATTCGGTATCGGGGTTTCAAGTTCCGGTAAAAAAAAAGCACAGAAGCCTGATTTTGTAGTAAATATTAGACTAAAAGTTACTTTTGACCCAAAATTTCCCAAAATATTGCGTATCCGCCAACGAAACTCCGTTTTGAAAAAAAAAAGGCCAGTAATTGAAGGTTGCCACCCTGTCGGAAAATTTCCCAATCGGTCGGTAATGAGGAACCCAATTTGAACAAGCAGTTCTGATTCGAATGCTGGATTTTGAAGAGTCCAAGACAAATTTTTATCTGGCCACACTGATCAGCTGTTTAATAAAAACAAAAAGATAAAACAAGCAAACTTCCTTGAAAACACGTAAATCAATGGATTTTCCGGACAAAATGGATCTGGAGAATGAGCGGGTGCTAAAACTGATATTCCCCGACGGGGTGCCAGGTGAGTGAGCCCGAGAATCCAAAGAATCACCAAGAAATCAATATTTTTCGACTTTCGCCCCACAGACAATCTGCGTGGCAATCCGGAGCTGGACAACTATTTGGCCAAACTGGGCACCTGCAAGGTGGAGCAGCTAAAGAAGGAGCAGACCCGTCTGGCGGACGAGGCGCGCACTATCCTGGAGCAGACGCAGGATCTGGCCATTTCCAATTACAAGACCTTCATCACCACCGCGGAGAACTCGCGGTCCATATTCAGCGAGTTCCTGCGCTCGGAGCAGCAGCTGGACACGCTGGTGGGCAAGCTGCCCGACCTGAGCACCCAGTGCGAGCGCTTCTTGGAGGACTCAGCCGAGCTGAACGAGCAGCGGCGCCTCAACTCCATCACGCTGCAGAAGAACGCCCAGTTGCTGGAGGTTCTGGAGCTGCCGCAGCTCATGGAGCGCTGCATCCGCGAGGGCCGCTACGAGGAGGCTCTCGAACTGGCCGCCTATGCCACGCGCCTGGGCCAGCACCAGGGACACATCCCGGTGGTTGAGGTGGGTTTTGGTTTCCAATTTCAGAATTTATTCAAGCAATTTTATGGATTTTCAGAGCATTGTGCGCTCCGTGGAAGCCCTGTGGCACACGATGCTGGTGCAACTGGTGGGTCAGCTGCGCACGGACCTGCAGCTGCCCAAGTGCCTCCAGATTGTGGGATACCTGCGCCGAATGCAGGCCTTTGGGGACAACGAACTGCGCTTGAAGTTCCTGCAGGCCAGGGATGCCTGGCTCACCTCGTGCCTAGAGGCTATTCCTACAGGAGACGGTAAGATGCAAGAAGATTTTCTCAAAAGCTCCTATACAATCCTCCCTTCCCCTTTCAGCCCAACAACACTTGACGAAAACTATCGAGATCACGAGGATAAACCTGTTCAATATCATCACCCAGTACCGGGCCATCTTTCCCGAGGAGGAGGGCTCTGGAAAGGTCAGCCTGAAGCCGCTGCAGGGCGTCAGCTGCAACGGAGATCGCCTGTTTCAGGTCTGGCTTCATAATAAGATCAACGCCTTCTTGGAGACCCTGGAGCGGGACCTGCAGCTGGGAGTGGGTTCCATAGAGACCGTGCTGGGCCAGTGCATGTATTTTGGACTCTCCTTCAGCCGCGTGGGCGCCGATTTTCGAGCTCTCATGGCGCCCATCTTCGTGAACGTTATTCGTCGTCGTTTTGAGACCAGCGTGCAGCAGGTGAACGAGCAGTTCGAACGGGAGCTGGACAAGTTCACGCTGATCAATAAGGGGACTCTGCACTCCCATTCCCGCAAGCATGTGGATCCCGAGCAGGAGTCCTTTGCCCCGCCGGAGACGTTGCTCGACTTTTATCCCCTGGCCGCTCTCTGCAATGGTTACCTGGGTGCCTTGAACGAACTGCGCCTGTGTGCTCCTTTGGCCCTGGCCACCGATGTGACCCATTGCCTGCAGCATTCCCTGCAGCTGGCCGCCCAGCGCGTGCTCGCCTTTTACAGGCAGGAGCAGCAGGCCTTTGCCGGTAGTGAACGGGAGGCGTTTATTCGGCTGTGCTCGTGCCTGGCCTACGACTTGGTGCCCTATATGCAGCGCTGCATCCATGGCGTCTTTCCGCCGCAGTCCCTTACCGTCCATCTAGGCATTAGCCTTCTTCAGTTGGAGCAGCAGCAACTCACCTACCTGGAGCAGGCCCGCATTCTGGAACCGCTGAAGCATCTGCTACCCACCAAGGTGCTGGTGCAGGAGCCGATCGCGGAGGCGAAGTCTAGCGTGGGCGTGGCGGTTCCTGCGGAGGGTTGAGGAAATCGTAGACAAGCAATTTATTGCTGGAAAATATGTAAAAAATTCCAATATTTATAACTTGTAAAGCTTAATTAATAAACTAATTGAAAAAGGTATTTTATTAGAGCTTTCTTACACTTTATAATCTCTGGTAATCGTCAATTATCATTATTTTATAAACAAACTTATAGATGGCGGTGGGAGAAATAAGGGAACAGAACTTCTACCACGCTCTTCGTTCAGAGTCTTATCTTTCCGAAGAGAACCCATTAAAAAAGTGGGAAATGCATTGAAGATAATACTCTCAGTACACATGTTTCAGTCTGAATCGGTACTCCCACTCGGTCGGATCAGTTACGGTCTTCAGGTGGAGTTACCAACAAATTCACCCACGTCGAAATGAATACCACAACAATCTTGGACTTGAATCACTTTTGCTACTTTGAGCTGTTCAAACAAATCAAACTGAGCTGCGAGAAAAATAATGCAAGTGCGACGCAGGAGGAGATGAAATACGTTGACTTGATCAACTTCACAGTGTCCAACAGGTTGTTTCAGTATCTGTTTGGCAAATGGGACTCCGATCTCTCCAAGAGACTCTTTCTGCTCTACGTGGGCTCCGAGGAGGACTTGAGCATTGACTTTGCGGAGTTGTACGAGCGTTTGAAAGGGTTTCCAGAGAAAGTGAAGCAAGTCTATTGGAAGTCTCTCATGCATGCTATCGAAGAGAATGACCGGCTGACCAGCGTCGAGCTGAGATACTATCCAGAGAGCTACCACAGGGAGCACTTTGGACATATTTGAGTCTGTGATGAATCAGTTGCGCAGGAAAAAAAGCTTAAGAGCTTTGCGAATGCATATTACTGGTAGAAACAACAAAAATTAAAAGATATAGATTTTATTCATTGTGCTGTTTATTCCAGGCTACACCTTGGAGGATCTTAGGGGATTCGGCAACCTGGAACAGCTGGCCCTGGATATGAAGACGGATATCGGAGAATTAACCAGATGCTGCCGCGAAAATGGTAACCTTCACGACCTTTCCGTCACTAATAGCGACACGGCGGGACGAAGGTTGACCGAGATCGTACCATTCTGCTGTCAGGTTCGCGTTTTTGCCTTCAAGGTGAAGTGCGACGGCAATGCCGCCGAGTACGCCTCCCTGGCCAAAATGCCCAGGCTGAAGGAGCTAAGGATAGGAGGTGAACACGAGCTGGGAACTCTGCAGCCCCTCCTCACTGGACTGACTAGAAAGGTACCCGAGATCCTCACCAAGTTGTTCATAGACGATGCTCCGTTGAACTGGGAAGAGTCCACGGAGCTGGCTCAGATCGAGACGTTGACCAGAGAGCATCGGGCCCTTGGCTCAGCTGAACTACCTAAACCATCTGGAGATACTGTCCAGCCACGCGTTCTCAAGTATTTCGGAACAAATCTACACCGTTCTGGAGCACTCCATGCGAGGCAAGACAGTTGTTCTGTCAGATTGCTTGATCGACTACGAGCCTGGTCAAAAACTGCATCTTATAGTGAAGAGAGGCAATGCCTCCGAGTACAGTTCCTTGGTTGCGCTGCCCAAGTTGGATTTCCTTAAGATAAGCGGCCACTATAAACGTGGTTCCCTTGTCAAGCTCATCGAAAAGTTGGCTTCCGCTAATGTGTCTACCTTGATAATCGACCAAGATCCCATTAACGACTTCCTAAGTCGGGATAGCGGAAAGAGGCCGTATCAAGAAGCTCTTCTGATCGACTCCGATGAAATCGCAGCTCTGTCGCGGTGCAAGTCTCTCAAAGAAATAGTTTGCGGAATATCGCAGGCCGGAAACGTCGAGCTCCTGGCCCGGCTACCAGATCTGCAGAACTTGATTATTACCCACGTGCCGTTCAGGGGATGCCTGCAGACACTTTTCGAAGAAATGGCTCTAGCGGATGTTAACGTCCTCCAACATTTTGAACTACGACATCGGACCCTGAATTCAAAGGAGATTTCAGCCCTGTCCCTAATAGCCACACTGAAAACCCTGACAGTCTCAGAAGTGGCCAACATTAAGATGTTCGCAAAACTAAAAATAGCTGTAAGCTTTGAAAAACTCAATATTTTCGTATACAAACGGTTTCACGAGGTATGTGAAGATATACTGAAGGTTTTAAGGATTTGTAAGTTTAGAATGTCCATAAATACGCACGACTTCGGTTTCGTGTTTGATCGTTCCGAGAATCATCTGAAAATAACACAATTACCAGGAAACTGCACAGATATGAAGAAGATGATTTCTCTGGCCTCTCTGGAATGGGTGGAAAGCCTTGATATCGACATAAAGAGCCCTTTATGGTTATTTTTCCATACATTGGCCCTGAGAACCGATGGCCGACTCAAACAGATTCGCGTGGAACAGGGCGCTTTGAGCGTCAGGGACACACTAGAGCTGGGAAATATTAAATCTCTCAGGGTGCTCCATGGAAAACTGGCCGACCACCGAAGCCTTGATCACCTGCGTCATTTGAACTTTCTGGGAATTTCGAATTCCATCGGTAACAGATTTCCGGCGTGCGTTGTTGATACCCTTGACTCTATTGAGGACCAATTAACCATCCGCCTGAGGGATAGACAGATAAGTTACAACATTATAACTGGCCACTTAATTATCCACAATAGTTTTCCTGCAATCGTTTACCGAGTTCAAGGACGACGCGCTTATGTGAAAAAACCCACGAACGATGCCAGTGACTTGGCTCCTCTGGCAAGCCTCAAGAACTTGAAATCAGTTCAAATCTTTGGAAATCACACAGAGGGCACTCTTCAACCCTTCTTCGCCCAACTCGCTTCAAGGCCAAGTGAGACTCTTCAAGAACTGGCAATGGAGAAGAAAAACAGAGCCACCAAGTTGGTTTACGTTAGTATCAACTCATCAGAGATTAGAGAAGTGGCCTCTATCAAGTCCCTGCGAAAGTTAAAATGTGGATTCTCTGAATCGCAGCATGTTGAACTCTTGGCAGAGCTTCCGCAGTTAACCGAACTGCTCGTAACCTCCCATCAAGAAGGATCCTTGAGGGGCCTTTTGGAAAAACTGAGCTCGAGGAGATGTCCCACCCTGGAGAATTTGGTTCTGCAGGAGCATCTTCTTACGCCTGAGGAGAAGGCAGAAATGACAGCCATAAGATCTTCGATGAGTCCGAATGCGGCTAGTCCAGCCTAGTAGACATCGAAAAGTATAGCGGCATTGAACATTTTAATGGATATCGCCATGCCTTCAAGACTTACTCTAGGAGATGAAATCAAGAAGCAGATTCTACTGCAAAAAATCGTCATGTGATCTGCTGATAATTAACGCCAAGATGCATATTATTATTATTAACCCACATACCTACCCTTAAAACAATTAAAATATAAACATTACCTCTTTATTAAAGTTTAAAAGTATTAAGAATCAGGATTATACTACTAGTTTTTACATTACAGTTAAAAAGATTCAAATATTCAATTAAATGAATCACCTATTATTTAAAATCACACATATTTACACACATATCCTACTAGTAACATCCATCCAAGGCTCGTTATGGTGAAGCTTACGAGCCCCCAATGGATCTTCCACTCAATCGTTTTGTTAATTTTACAAAATTTCCAGACGACTAAGCTCGCGAGTGGTTTTTGCCAGGGAGAGGGGTAGTCCAGTTTTGGACGGTGTATGTGCTGACCCACTCTGGGGAAACCCCTTTTTTTGGGGGGGGTAGGGCCGCGAGAGTGCAATAATATTTTTACTTTGCCACCCGGCGATCAAAAAGCGGCTCGCTGCGGTCGTCCAACCGCCAAAGCCAAAGCCAACACCAAAGCCAGGGCGTTGCAATCAGGCTCCCCTTGCCATCTGCTCCCTAGTGAGTATCTCCTAACTAAAGCGCCGACATGGCAGGTCAGATTGAGTTCGGTCAGAGGCAGTCCGGAAAACAGGGGAATAACGGCGTCCAGGGCCGCGGCGTTTATAAGCAATTTCGCGAACAATGACTAAATTTCGGGGAAAAAGCCAGCGACGGTTCTCCCTCGCCCTCGTTTCGGTTGCTGTTGCATCTGAACGAATCTGAATGCAACGCAGTGCGCCGAAAATTGGAAAACATGGCAGCTGAATGGACAACTAGTGGACAGAGGCAGGATGCACACCGCATACACTGAAAAGCTATCTGGCAACAAAGGGGGGATAAGCTAACAAAATTTAGATTTTGCCGAAATTAGAAATAAGTGTAAGATCTCTGCAGTATATACTATAAGGGGGTATGTAAGAAATGTATTTTTTAATTATACAGTTATGCAGAATGTTGCTTTAAAATATATATTTTTTCGAGTGCTTGAAGTAGAACTAGGAATAGGACATGGACATAGGCTGGGCATGGGCCGAGTGCGTTCAGCATTCAGCGACGACTCATCGTTCAACGTCAGCGCCGGATGCGTTTGTGGCCACGGCCTTTGTGGGTGCACCACCGCTTTTCATGGCTAGGATCGAAGGGGTGTGCTGGACGGGCAGGACAGGGCAGGCAGTTGTTGTAGGAGCTTTGGATCTGGATTGGGGGACCGCCTCTGTATTTTTAAGTCCACCACTAAATACAAACGAAAGCACTCAAGCACAAGTTGGCCACGATTTCCCAATCGCAGTCTCTCCGGCCTACTCCACACACACACACATACACATACCCTCTGGAGTCCGTTCTCCGTTCTCGGGCATCGTCATAGTACAAATGGAATTTGGGATTTTGATTGCGAATCGAAATAGATTTTGTGGTATTTGGCAAGCAGTGCGAAACAAGCGACTAACAACCTGAGCCTGGGTGTGTGTAGCGTGTGTTTGCGCTGCAGTCCTCGCTGAGTATGTGAATGTGTGTGTGTGTGTTCATTTGTTACTTTGGCCATGGACAACACTGCGTATACGCGCTTTATTCCCGTCCGTTGATTGATTGAGTTTGTGTGAGGCTTTTTACACGCTCGCTGGCTCCGTTTTTGCAAGCCGCCCGTTTATTTTGCATTTTTCCAAAGCCCCCCCCCCTGCTACGCCCACCATTCTGTTTGCATTTCTGTCTGTTTTTGCTAGCCGTTCCCTTTTCAGTTCGTTTTAATTCGCTGGCAAGT